AATGAGGTCCGAACTCAAATTAAATATTGGACTCCAAAGAGAACAAAAATACATGTGGTACTCTTATTATATACCATATTGTATTGGTACGTCCTTTTTCTGTTTTTCAATCTTGTACTGTATTCTTCTCTTGAATTTAGGGTAATGAAACGAAAATTTCCTATACTCGAGTTCACAAATTGTACTGTTGGTTTCCAATTTGTAATTGCTTCCTATATAGATCGTACTTCGTTTGTAAAAACACATTTTTTTATTGCCGTGAAGTACAATTACGAAGAAAGATATATGAATTGATCAAAATACTCAATATAAATATATTCATACTTGTTACGAGAATTTTACCTCTCAAAAAGACCTATCTGACTCGAATCCTAATCAGTCGAAATAATAATTTAAGACACACCATATGCATGATATGTCAAAATATATTCATACATTTTAATATTGTCATACGTTATAAATATTAACGATATCAAATTACTTGAATCTCAATAACTCAAACTGTTCCGCTCGTTATTCACTCCAAATTCTACATTAGTTGGGTTTGGCATGCATCATTGCATCAAGTGGCAAGCAAGTACGTAAAAAGTTTGTGGAAAACTAGATTGCTAAAGTGGAAATTACTTGACCTAAAAACAAACGTACATAATCATGGCACGATACTGTGTACCATCGTAGATTAGGAGGAGGATTTGTCGACCAATAAGTATGTTTTTTTTGTGTATATTGGTTATCCTTGTCAACAAAGTAAAGACAGCAACTTGTCGTGTATGGCGTGTGTAATTCGGCAGCATAATCAGGGCTTTTTCGTCCTTTCATCTCCTCCTCCTATTCTTTGTTTTTTTTTTTTCCAAAAAAAAAAAGAAAATCAAAGAATAAATTATAGTAGTACTATATAGATTTTTTCCTGTCCCCGAGATTAATTATTAATAATTTGGGAGATACTGTAATAAGGTAGGTGTAGGATAGGACAGCTTTGTGTTTTCATTTTGCAAGATAGAAGGTTAATAAATCCCACGCGGAACTTACTATGGGAGCAACGCACGCGCCATTTGAACCGGCTTTCTAATAATGTACATTACAAATTTTTCTAGTTTGGATTTTTTTCATTTTTATTGCAAATTGAAGTCAAAATAAAAATTTCAAACTAGACAACGTAAAATATTTGGAAACTATAGTCATGTTAGAATCTCAAATTAAACCAAATCACAGCCATTTACTTATAAAAATTGTTGTCGTATTTGAATTATTTAATGCCTCGATCCAACAAAAGTTATGTAATATAAGGAATTTCGATGATTGTTAGTAATAAGATTTACAAATAGTACTCCCTTTGTCCCGTAATTATTGTCTAGTTTGAGTTTTCATTTCTAGTTTAAATTGTATTAAAAGTAAAATCTAAAACTGGACAATAATTTTAAGACAGGAAGAGTAAAATAACATCTTGTTTGAACTTTATACCAACATTACCGTGCATGGTATAGTATCCGATCAAGTTGTCTCCTTATTCATAATAAACCTTTCATCTTTATGGAAGATCGATGGAACTATATATTTTTTCCTTGCCAAAACAAAGATAGAATGATATTTTAAATTAATTTGATATATGAATACTCGTATAAATTTTTGCCGATAAACATGAACACAAGTACACAACTAATCCAAAATTGATTAGTTACTTGCAAAATAAAACCCATTGTGGAAATTAAAAACAAAATGTACAAAAGAACAGTAAATTCGTCTGGTCAAAACATCATGGCTATTTTACGTAGCATTTCATTCGCATTTGTTACTACACGATATACGGCCGGATAATTACTCCAATTATTAAATAATGCCAACGGTCCAAGAGATTACGATCATTAACTTTGTAGTGGTTCCAACAATAAATTTTTCTTTTTTTCTTTTTTTGTCAACACAATTGGCGGATGGGATTTCTTTATCGTAGAATCTGACGGTTTAAAAATGTTGGCAGACAGACTGGTGGTTTGACTTTTGATGCACATCACACGTAATTATACACGAAAATTTTAATCATGGTGCACACTTCTTTTTTTTTTTTTTTTTTGTTGGATTGGTTTTAATAACAATCAAATGCCGTAAAATGTTTGTTATCACGTCCATTTTTATGCCTTGTCAAAACAAATATGGAAATGCAATCTATACGTGCGTGTTTCTTTTTCCAATTGTTTTCTTTTTGCCACTTACTTTTTTTTTATATAAAGATTAATACTCACTCGTCCCAAAATAAGAATCTACCGAAATTTATGAATATTAAAATTAAATTTAGTTGAGTATATTAATTTCTCCTCAACAAAAGTTTCGAAATTGTAATTTCATGAAACTCTCCCTTAATTTATTCATTCATTGGTTGTTGGGTCTTTGAAGTACCCGCGACTCAGAAAAACATTACCTCTAAAATTCCAATTTGTCAAATTAAAATAATATAATAATAGTAGTTTCTTTTGTTTACTTGGAGAAACAAGAAAATATATAAGCATACAATTTATTGAAACTTATAGAAAGTGTTATTTGTAATTTTATCTTTGATCTATCCTATTCCTATCGTTTACAATGTGAATTAATTTAAAATATACATACACTCGTATCTATGTTGAGGCATACTTAAACTTCAATATTGCGTAATTAAGGTGCAACATTTCGTTTTATGATAATAAAATACTAGTATACTTATCAATTAAAAACTCCACATTTTTGTCACCGTCCAAATGTACTTTATGATGTAGGCTTTGCAGATTTGCACGGTTGAGTTGCATCACCCATGGTGTGTTTTTTGTTTTAAATACTATACAATAATTAAAACTCAAACATGCGTTACGAATAATAATAACAATAACAATAACAATAACAATAATAATAATAATAATAATAATAATAATTTGCTTGTCTTTGTTATCAATCTTCGTAACTTTATTTTGGTTTATTTCATCACAATACTGATTTGGAAAGGGAAAAAAATGTTACTCTCTCTGTCCCAAAATTATTGTCTAGTTTGAGATTTTATTTTTAGTACAATTTGAACTAGAAATGAAAATCCAAACTGAACAATAATTATGGGACGGAGGGAGGACTATCTTTACATAAATAAAAATAATGTCTGTAAGTGAGATCAAACTATGAGGGTGTTTATATAGAGTGTTCCACGCCATGCAGTAATTGGGGGATTTTTTTATTTTTTTTTTGAACTATTGAATGTGGAAATTGAGGAAATGACACGAAATTGATTGAAATTTTACACAATTAATTAACACAACAAGTTGCAGTACAATTTGTACAATTCCTCCAACTCTTTATGAAGAAGCTGCACAAGTTGATGAAACTTGGAAGATGAATGAACGTATGAAGAAGACGATGATGATGATGATCAAGTTGCGGTGGACCCATATCCCTGTCTCGATCTCTGTTCTTAAAACATTTTCCCTGTTTTTTATGCAAAATCTTAGACTTTGTTTGTTTAATTTTTTTTTATATATATTTTTAATTAATAAAATAATAATTATTTTATCTTAATATATATAATTTTTATATTTTTAATATATTTTTTCACATTATTAATAAAAAAATCTAAAAACACGCACTAAAACTAAACAAACATACCATTAATTATTAATTTCTTTTCCCTAAACTACTTCTACTGGTATATCGTTCTTTCTCTTTCACACACACCCACGCACTTCACTCAAATAGACAAAAGGGTGGGGGGCAAAAGGGCAAATTCCATATTGGTGAAGGAATGGAAACAAATCGTAATTTAAGCTAATTTGGGGTTAGGAATACCATTTTCAGGATAAATGGTAATGTTATTTTTGTAATACAAGCGGTCGATTTTCTAATGTATGACAAGTTCTTACGAGAGGTCATACATATGCTTACCGCAAGTAATAAGATTTATGAGGTTATATTTTTATCGAAACATGTTGAATACGTAAACTATTTGTAATATGGTATAATATTCTCCCTATCTCAAAAATTTAATCTACATTATTTTCCTGAAAAAATTCAACGTGAATAAATTTGTTTGGAACATAATAAATATTATTTTTTAAAAATCATAAATGGAAGTAATGGTGGGGGGTTGTTTTCGTGGGAATGGGGGGATGAAAACAAAGATAGAAAAAGGATTAAAGAAAAAAAGAAACAAATTTAACCAACATTGCTATATAAGTATATATGGTGCTTTTTGGTGGAGAGAATAGGGGGGAGAAGGGGAACCTGATGCCCCCCTTTTGATGTATGAGTGGGTGGTGCTGTTTTGTTTTCTCATCAAAACTCTCCTCCCATCCTATTCAAATCCCCATTCTTCATTTAATGTTTCATTTCATTGCAATCCACCCCCTTCATTTTCTCTTTTTTTCTTTTATACAAAAATTTAACTTCTTTTATTTCTTTTGCGAGTAATCTTAAAAATATTCTAAAATACTAACAACAACTTTATTCTACAAACAGATTGTTGCCATCGGAATTTGAATCCATGCACTTGTTATTATGATATCCTATTTTTTTAATACTTAATAAATAAATAAAGAAATTATCATAGCTGTAAGTACATATTGTGATATCAATAGAAAAATAATAAAAAGAATTACAAGAAAAAATAGAAAAAATCACATCTGTCCAGGCTTATATAGCACTTGTAATGTCTGTTCATTTAAGATTATGTAGATAGTTTAGACTTTAACCACAAAATTCATTCAAAAGTTTCTTGTATATTTCTCTGAGAGATTTAAAAAATAAAATGTCATTTTTTAATGATTTTTAATATCCATTATTTTTTATTTTGTTGGTAACAAAACCAAAAAAAAAACCTAAAAGGAAGTTGAGTGACATTCAATTAACTTTCATTGACACTTTGAAAAGAAAGAAAAAGTGAAGGGCTTTATGTGTAATTTAAATATTATACGAAGCATTAAATTTACTTTCCTTTCCCTTTGATTTTTTCTTTCTTTCCTTTGGGATTCATAAATAAAGTATTTCCATTAGATTAATTTACTATACTTCACTGTTCACTGTATCATCTTTCTCTCTCCATTTTGTTATTGTTTTGTAGCTCTTCAGTCTCACTGTGTGCCCCTCTCTCATATTTTAATATCCTCAGATAAGTTTTTATTCTCTCCTCAATTTTCTCCCTCTTCTCTCTCTCCCTCTCTCTCTCTCTCAATACCAAAAAATCAACCCACCCAGAAAAAAAGGCTTTCTTTTCTTCTTCTTCTTCTTCTGCCTCTTGCCCAGGTACCCATCCATCCATCTCATCTAAAATCATCCATCCTCATCAACAAAGGTCTGTTATTTCAATGGATTTCTCTGATCTGCTTGCTTCTTTCAACTTCATTTCATCTGGGTTTCTGTTTTCTTGTCAAAATTTAAAACTTTTTTCCTGCAAAGATCCCATTTTTTTTTGGTTTGTGAGCTGCAGTAGTGTGATTTTATTTGTTTGAAATTTGAATGCTGTTTGTTTTTGGGTTTTGGTTTCTCCTTTGTTATATGCGGTGCGGTGGGGACTGAAAAGGGTGGATTTTTGCGTCAGTTGAAACCTTTTTTTCGGTGCTAGCTTGTTGCGTTGTGGGCAGTTTTGAAAAAAAGAGAAGAAAATGAGAAGCTTCCTGTAATTTTATGATGACTTACCTTGATTTTCTCAGCTCTTCTTCTTCTTCTTAACTGAAGTAAAATCTTTTTTTTTGCTTGGTAATAAAAGACTTTGAAGTCTTGATCTTTGAAGTAAGCAAGCAAATCTGGTCTTTGGGTTTACATTATTTTTGCTCTTTTATTCTTCTTTCACCTTGTTTACTGTTTGTTCATTAGGCCATCTCCGAAGTCCAAAGAAGGAAAGGTTTTGATTTCTTTCTGAGGATTTCTTCTTCCTCCTCGAGAGTTCAACTTTATAACAACATTTGAATCTTTCTTCCCTGACCAAAAAATACTGTCTTTTAATGGGTTTGTTCATTCAAAAATCTCATTGGTTTTTGTCTTTCATTTTCTGGAATCTCTTCAATCTTTCATCCTCATCCTCATCCATATCCACCTCTCCCTTTCTATTTTCCTTAACCTTTAAGATAGATATACAGTGTCCAATCAGTTTTTGAGCCCCTCAGATTCGAGATTGAGAATTACTATAATCTTTTTAGTCTTTTACTATCTTAAATAAAAGGTTTATTTTCAAGCTACAAATTCGTGTTGCGTTTGTCTTTGTTTTGCCACATAAAATAACGTTGTTCGATGATCTTTTGCTTGAGAAACATGCCTAAATAATCAGTTTCCAAATTGGTTGAGATTGGCCTTTGTTTTTTTTACTCGTTTCCACTCACATAAAATAACGCTTGATAGAAATCTCTAGAACAAATAAAACAATCTCCTTGGTTGCTTGCCTTACTTTGCTTACTGTGTCTTATGATTAATTATGATCTATCTCTCACAACTATCTCCTTCTTTTTCTTGATGCAGGTCTAAATACATAAAATGGATGAAGAAAAAAGGCATCTTTTCTATCTGGGCTTCTTGTTTTGATCTTATCTTTGCTGCTTAGAGGCTCTGTTGGTTGTGGTTAGAGAAAAAGAAGCAAAAATTTGTGGAAGGAAGGCCTATTTAGGCTACTGTTATGCTGAAGGCTAAGTACTTGTTGAAGATAAGTAGTAGTGGTGGCTGTAGTAATTCTTGTGACTGTTTACAAGACAGCACAAGAAGGGTGAAGTTTATCAGCAGATGTTATTATCCAACCTTGAAAACCCTCTTCAGCCTCCAAAAGATCCACCTTGTTGTCCTCCTCCTCCCCAAATCTCTGAGCTGATAAACAGTAGTACCAATAGTAATAGTCCTAGTGGTGGTAGAAGTAGTAGTGATGATGTTGATGGTGATGACAACAATAATAATAACCAGCTCCAGCTTGTAGATCTGTTCAAATCAGACCATCATCCACCTCCCAAATTCTCCATAAGGTAAAAAAAAGGAAGGAAGAAATTTTCACTCTCTTTCAAGTTTTTGGGATTTTTCTTTCTCAAACTCAGATCCACTCATCACCAGTTTGTGTGGTTTCCATAAGATATGTGTTGTTTAATGAGCTCTGCTGCTATTGAGTTGTCTCTCCTTGACCCAAGGAGTAAAAACTTTTTGATTTTGATGTTTGTTTAGATAAATGGTCCTTTTTTCTTTTTTTTTCCTTGGGGTAAAATTTTTTATCTACACTATTCTTGTTATTTTTATGGTATGATGATGATGAAAATTCTTTGTAATTCTTCTTCTAATCCCATCCGGGAAAAGGGTCTAACTTTTAATCATGTATCAGTTTTTTTCCTCTTTAAGCTCTTTCATCCCATATGGTTTTGTTTTTGTCGCACTTTTGCTAACACTATTCCAGCTGCTTAATCTTCATGAAGACCATTTACAGTTGTTCTATCTTCTTGTTAGAGTGATTTGCTTCTTTCTTTCTTTCCATTCCATTCAAAAATAACGTTCGCTTTTTGAGTTTGGTCTCTTGTGTATGCTGGGTTTATTTTTGGGTTGTTGACTCGTTCACGCTACTCACATATGATATGAAGTTTTTTCAAATTTTTAGCTGTTTCACTTGTAACTTCATCTTTTCTTTTGAAATCAAGTTAGTTAGCTTGTGAGATCTAATGCTAATTCCAACTATCTTGGGTGCCTCTGTTGTTTTTCAGGGATTATGTTTTTAACACCAGAAGCAAAGATATAGAGAATAATTGGCCATTTTCTGAAGAAAACCTTCAACTTTGTTTGAAGCATGGCTTGAAAGATTTGTTGCCTCCTTTCCAGTCTCCTCACAGTGTCAGAAAACCATCATCTTTATGCAATTCCAAGACACATAATCAAAATGATCATGGTGTATTGGTGGACTACTCTCACAATAATCATGCTGGATGTAGTAACCAAAACATAGCAGTTGGGGATTGTTCGCAAACAAATCCTAAGGGGTTTCAATCTGAAGGAGGAAGTAAAGAATTTCCTTCCACCATTATTACAAGCCAAACTTGTTCTGAGATTACTTCTGTCCCAACCAACAGGAGCCCGGAATTTGGAACTGATAATTTCCAGGAACTATCTCCTCCACGGGCGAAAAAAACCGGGGTTGTTAGCAAGAGTCAAGTTCAGGTGAAGAAGTGCCGACTGGTTGTGAAGTTGGGCAACAACTCATCGAACCTAACTACAAAAGAGGACGGTTTGATGGTTTCTGAAGTAGCAGCGATGGCTTCTTCAAAAGTTTGCCCAGTTTGCAAAACATTCTCATCATCATCTAATACTACACTGAATGCCCACATTGACCAGTGCCTTTCTGGAGAGTCCACTGCGACCAAGTGCTCATTGGATGCTAAGGTGATTAAGCATAAGATAAAGCCCAGGAAGATTAAATCCATGGTTGATATCTATGCAACAGCCCTCCATTGTACATTGGAAGAACTTGATCGAAGAAATGGAACTAATTGGGCTAATACCAAATCTTCTTTGCCTGCACAAGAGAATGAGGCTGGTAGTAGTACTGCAGATCAGAAGAAGAAACAAGCGAGATGGTTATCATCTCCTGCTAACAGTCTTGAGGAGAATCCTCCTGATGAAGGTGCTGTTTACATTGATGCCAATGGCACAAAGGTTAGGATTTTGTCCAAGCCTGCTGATCCATCTTTGGTGTTGAAAGCAGTGGATGGGGATAAAGTACCACCTAAGAAGTTTGTGAACCGGGATAAAGTTAGTAAATTCCTTTTATCCAAGAAAAAAAAGCAAAATCAGGTGCAGAAGAGGCACAAGCTTGTGAAGCATGGCAAAATGAGTTCTACTTTTCGGCCTCATCTCACTTCTTCAAAGGTAAATTCACTTGTTTTGACTTTCGTTTGACTTGGTTCCATGACATATGATGATTTATTTGTTTGCTGCTTGGTGTTGCCCACTCTTCATTTTAGGACATTGGTAAGGTTGTTCTATACTGCTAGAGGCAGATCTAGCTGCGCATGCTTTAATTTCACCATCTATGTTAAGGAACAAGTTGAGAAAATATGCTTGTAGCTTGATTTTTTTGCATGCAATTCATAGTGGCAAATGTGTAAACCTTTAGTTCTATGCAGCTTTGAACCTTTTTTATGCTGCTGGCTACCATAGTTTGAAAGTCAAGATTTTTTATGAGTGTAATTATGTTTTACAGATTAATGATAATCATGATCGGAACTCCTCTAGAGAAGAAAATTTAGAGGAGGAAGCATGCATAACCCGGCATTTCAAATCCCCAACTGAGGTTGAATTCAATAGAAGACCAGATGTGGTCTGTGGCTGGGTTTGCTCAAAGCGTACTGGTCTCACCAAGAGAAGCAATGGCAGAGATGAAAGGGACTTGGTGGTTGAAACTGATAGGTTATCTCTGGGGAATTCCAATGTTCAAAACAGCTGTGGAAGTGGAAGAAGAACTTCACATGCATTTGAAACTTCGCTTCCTCGGAACAGTAAACAAATCGAGAAGCTAGCATATGATCCCTGTGATGATGAGTATAGGGAGATGCCTGTGCGAAAGAGATCGAGAGTCGATGTTGTGGAGTCCCCAGTTTCTTTTGGCAAGGAGAAAGTCCTCAATGTTAAGCAAGCGAGGAAGGACAAATCTCGTAATGGGGAAGATTGTCTATCATCGGTTTGCAAGAGGAAGGTTCAAGTGTATGCTGATGAGGACAGAAATGTTGACCGTGTTGTTGTTGATCCAAAAAACTCTTGTGGTCAAGATATGCACTCAGCTAAAGGTAAGATGTTCTCTTCTTTGAGGAATAAGTCTTTCTCTGGACAAGAGTCTAAGCCTGACAAAATGAACTTCAAGAGGAAATTTCTAGCCTTTAAGAAGTCGTCCGGGGTTGGTTATGACCATGATAGAATCGGGAGGACTCATGGCATGGTATCTGTTGATGGAGTTAGGAATTTGAAAGCTAGAAAGAGTTGGGGGGAAGGTGTGAGTGCTGGAAAAACGGCACCTAGGAGACTGAAGACATTGTATTCAGCATTCATGTCTTATGATGCTGAGGAGCAAGATGGTTCTTTTGTGCATGGTAGTTCATCAGAAAGTAGATCCCATCATGTTGAATCTGCTGGAATGAACACTGATACTAGTGATGAAGAAGACTTTGAGATGGAGACACCCTCTGGGGATGCATTTATGAACTTCAGAGATCAGTTGGCTAGTTCATCCGATCTTGGCTGTAATTCGAGAAGATTTTCTGATGAAGCACTGGAATTTGAAGATGAACCTCCTGCTTGTTCAGCAGAGCCACTTTTTAATGATGGGGAGGGGATGTTTTGTGCTGGTGCTGAAGCTGTTCCTGAGAACATGAATGTTGTCGCAGAGCTGGAATCAAGTGGCACGCATGGGAATTATTTTGTTGATGTTGATCCAATACCTATACCAGGGCCACCTGGATCCTTTCTGCCGAGTCCAGGGCACATGGACTCAGAAGATCTTCCAGGAAATTCGTCATTGACATCAAGTAGGATTCAATCATCAGATGATCGGCAAGAATTAGTGGATCAGTCATCAGATTCTCCGGTTTCTGCAATTTCAGCAATCTCTAGCTCTACTTTAGCGAAATCCGATTCAAAATCTTCAGGAACAATGATGGTTGGGTGTCCCGGCCAAGCCCTGGATGGCCTTGGTAATGGCAATGTGGAGAGTTCTTCGCCAGTTTTGGTGGACAACACAAGTACTGCTGGTGGAGCAGAAAGGACTGTTCTTGGTAAGTATCATGAAATCAGTTTATCCAACAATGAAAAGGTGGTTTATGAATTCAAGGATCATCATCCACCTTGCTGTTGTTCTCGGAAAGAAGGATATTCCCAAAACATTTCTTTGAACTACGAAGAATCTCAGCTTCTAAAGAGGCGTACCATGACTGCGGCCGACGTCATGGCTGCCACTCGGAAGGAAGTGACTTGTGATAGGCCTGAAATGTTGTCTGCTAATGGATGTAATCCAGGTGATAGGGCTGCCATTCAGAGAATTGCTGCCGATTCATCACTTCTTAGGTTCCCAATTGGTGATGCCGGCTGTGAACCAAATAGTCCGGCTGCCCCCAGCCCAGTGCTGAGGCTCATGGGGAAGAATTTAATGGTTGTCAATAAAGATGATCAGAGTGTTGTTTCCTCTCAAATGAAGCTGTCCCAGTTGAGTCCCATCATTGGCCATTCAAATCCTGGCCATGTCCTTCCGGTTTCTGGAGTCCCCATCATCTCTCAGGCACCTTATTCGCTTGAGCCGGCAGCACGAAGCAATAATGCTATGCAGCGTTCTGAATGGTCAGACGGGCGTTATACTGGTCGTGAAAATGTTTGGACGGCATCTCAAATGCTGCCTGTTACCTCACCCACTGTGTTTTCCAGTAGAGGAGCAGTTCTTGGTGGCTTGGCAGGATCATCCTCAATGCATCCCGAGTACATTCACGGATACAACTTGTCAGCCACTGAACAAAGGCACCCCACTGTAAATGGAATGGTGAAGCCTTCAGCCAATTTTGACGCCGATGAACATTGTAGCAGTCCTCCTAGCCTTAGATGGAGGAATACAGCAAATGGGGCCCCAGTGAATAATGCTGCGAAAGAAATAATTGTTATCGATGATTCTCCTGAAAATGATCACCTTGGTTCAATGCCTGCTCGCACAGCACATGGTCAAGGCCCAATTCAAGATGCAAACTTGGCTTGTGGTTCAAGGTCACGTGCAATCAGCTTGTATGGTTATCCTCAGTATGGTTCTGCAGCTACATACTCCACTGGATCGCCTGTTGATGCAAGTTTCCGGATGCAAACCAACAATGTAATAAATGTAAATGGCAGCAGTCCTGGCAAGTGGATGAACTGGGGGGCAGCAGCAGAAGGTTCCAGTGCGATGCATCAGAGTCCTCTAATGACTACTACACCTTCCTCCGCAGCAGCTCAACTGAGACCTAAGTTCTATAATTACTCCAACTTGAAGTGATCTCTGCTAAGCAAAATCTTAACATCACCATCACCATTCTTGGACAGGCATTTGATTCAGAATCATCCACCAGGCGGGGCACATGAGTTCAGTTATAGCAGACAGGTTGATGAAGAGAGCAGCAGCAGCAGAAGCTAGCAAAGAGGATAAAATGACAGATGAGTTCTTTTAGTAAATTGGGGTCCCTTTACCCTCCTTCCCAATATAGTAGTATATGTGTTGCTTAAAAATTATAGGAGTACTTCAAAAATTTTCAGTTTCGGTAGGTTTAAGGACAGTTTTTTCAGAGGCCATCTAGAATGTGGTAGCAAACTTTGAATGCCTTCTCCCTTACCCCCCTCAAGATACAAGGCAAATCATGACAAATGTACAAGCAAAACTTTTTAATAATGAGTTAACCTTACCTGATCAAACTTCCCTCCCTTGTCATGCATAAACTCCATTTCTCGTTGATCTTGCATCTCTCACTCTCCACTCCCTCTCACAGACACACACACACACACACACACACAGATTGCTATTTTGGCATCTGGGCAAAAGGATTAATTTCCAAAGGAAAGGGTACAAACTAATGGTTACTACTCTCACGTCCCATGCAAAGAGTACAAGTTGGATTATTAATGACTCGCTAATAAGTATATAATTCTATGGCCACCATGCAGTAGTATAATTAAGCAACGAAACCTTGCATGAAAATCATGTATTGACAGCTTAGAGAAAAAGCCGACCATAATCATGCATGCATTTCTGCACACACTCACACACCGAGTCTGATCATCGTCATTATCACTGATGAATATATATCATTTCATGCAACCTAGAGAAGAAGTTATAATGTATTAAAAAAAAATATGGGTTTTGTTGCTTCTCTGGCAGTGATACAGTATGTTCTGAGTTCTTACATATGGGGGGATGGTCCTACTCGTATCAACATAGGATTTTTTTTTATTTTTTTTTTTGCTTCGAACGAACAAAAAGGACCGAGAGAGACCCATCTCTGTGCCTACAAATTTTTTTTTTAATTAATATCTGCAATTTTCGTGAATTCAAAGACATTGATAAAATGATAATGCTGATTTTTTCTACGTTGAAGCCTTGAGGGGAGGGTTTTAGCTAGGTTTTTTTCATTAGGACATATGATAATGGGTGATGATAATGATGAGCTTCTTTCTTTCTTAAAGGGTAGTAGTATTAAGAAGGTCTCGTCTGCATGAAATGTTGAATGTAGCCGTTACATAGAAAAAACGACTAATATTAGTATTAGTATTAGCTGGCTGAGGAGGAATAGTACGGATGTTCCCTCGTGTGTTGTCTTGGTGTCTGTCTTTCAGTGCGTGAGTGTGTGAGAGAGAAGGGGGAATTGTGGTCAAAAGATTTGACAAAAAGGATGAGTGGGTGAGACAGTACGTACAACAAGACAAAATAAATAAAGTAAATTAATGGCCGTTGGATTAGCCACCACCACCACCACCAGCAGCCCACCATTTTTATCTTTCTTTCTTTTTCTTTTTTTTTTTTTTTTCTTTCTTCCTTTGCATGTGGTGATGATGATATTTGTTGAGACCCCATCACCATGCTTCCACTCCTCCCAAGTCCCACCCACATTCAATATCTTTATTATTAGTACTCCATCTATTTCAAAATAAGTGTCATTCTACACTTTGCGTATAGTTTAAGAAACTCTTAAATAGGGTAATAAAATTACTTGAATATCCTCAACCAACCCCATTAAAAAAATATCCACCAATGATATTAATTCTTTCAAGGGTAATTTTGAAAACTTTGGACAAAAAGTACATTAAAATATGAGAACGACACTTATTTTGAAATTTTTTAATTTTGCTAAAACGACAATTAATTCGGAACGGAAGGAGTACTACATTTTAATCCTCTTTTCGTCTCACAATAAAAATATACTTATAAACTAACTCTCTCTAAGTTAGTTTTTTTTTTGTGGCAAAAGATATATTCTCCGACTTATTATATTCACGAGGGTAAACCATTCTCGTAGTTGGAAGTAACTCACAGTTCGAGTGACCCTTCATCATGAAGATCATCTTCCTCTTCTTTGTTTTTTTCCCCCGGTATTTTGAACTCGCAGTTTATCTGTTTAAAACATGGTATGTGTTGCTTTCACTTACATCACTTTATTTTTGTGCAATTAAAATTTCTCCTTCCACACAGTTGATTGTTTTATCTAAGAAATCCTTAGACACAAACTTACTCAAACATCTTATTTAAATGCGTATTCATCAGTAGATTAACATAAGATTTAGGGCTTAGGGTTCCACCAAAACACTACAAACCTCAAAACTTTACGGGGATGAAAGTAGTACTAAATCATTCTTACTAAAATGAGACAAATATAACATAGTACTTCTTACACGAAAAGAAATTAGTAAATTACAAGTATAGTATAAATCCCGGCAAAACAGAAAACAAAAACTTTTGTTTTACTAGTAGTGAAAATACATTTTGTGTCGCGATATTTATACAATTATTGATACATTTATGCAAACCTCACAATAACAATAACACTCCACTATTAATGCTACAAATTGTGGGCCATTATTTGCCTCTCATTTTCATTCATCTCCTCCTTAATTTATTAAACCTCTTTTGTCTTTGTTTAATAAATTGTCATGGTAATACTACTACTTTTACTACCTTTCGCAATCACATAAGCATGAACTAAAATAAGTAAAATTTTGAAAGCCGCCCCATCATCTGGTCCGTTGTTCGAGGAGAAGAACAGCTAATCCAACACTATAATTGTTGTTAACTTTTAAAAAATATTACTTCGTGTCCTTATCATGAATTATAAATTTGAACTAATTTTAGAACTATTAATTTTTACATTATAATTAATAGCGGTAAATATGCATGTTTTTTTTTTTTTAATATTTCAACGCAGTTGAGACAAATAAATTTGAGTAGTATGAAATCTGAAAATAAAGTCACTAGTCCAATAATTAGGACGGTCAAAACTTGATTAATGAGAGATAGAGGACTTGGAAACATAATAAGTACGCAACTTCTCTTCCTCCTCACATCAGAAAAAGTCACTTAAGCGGAGTATTTTATTTATTGGTGAACTTCCCTTTAGTAGGGTTAACCATATCAAAAAAAAAATTAAATCTATCTTAACTCCCCTGATCTCACAACATTAACAAAATAATTCTTTTACCTTATAAAAAAAGAAAAGTAAAAAAGAGGTGACACATCACCAGTCATTGAAATTCCTTTGAAGGGTTTACGGTCAAATAAAAAAAACTTCCACGTCAAACCAAAAAGCTGCTTCAAAAGATTCAACCTGATCCGATCATCATCATGATGTTTCCTACTCCCGCCGGCGGCAACGTTCCGTCTTCTTCCTCCTCCTCCTCCTCCACTGCCGCCACTTACATTACCATCCCGATCTCCGGTACCGATGTCATCGTCAGATCAGTACAGAACCTATCTTCCTCATTATCTCGTCGCCGCCCCTGGCCAGAGTTTCTATCCTCCGGAGCCATCGACTTTCCGTCTTCCGTCTCCGCAACCACCCTCCGACTCCGAGTGAATTTCAAGTATTTCTACGTTAATTACGCAATCCTCACGTCCGCAAGCGCGGCGGCTTCCCTCCTTGGCTCGCCGATGCCGTTGATCCTAATCGGCATCCTATATTTGCTCTGGATGGTATTATATTTCTGCCGGGAAGACCCCGTGCTCGTAATGGGCTACCACGTTGACGATTGTGTCGTCAATTTGGGCCTGGTAATGGGCTCGATTGCAGTAATTTGGTTTACAAAGGATGTTTTGATTAATTTGTTTGTTGGAACTTTGATTGGGCTTCTTGTCGCATTGATTCACGGGCTTTTAAGGAACACAGACGAGCTTTATCTAGATGAAAATCAGAGCGTATCCAGCGGATTGATTTCTGCCTCATCTCATCAAAATGGTGAAACAGTTTCGAGTGACGAGAGATTCTCTACTTGACTTATTTTTTTTGTACAGTGATGATTTTGAGTTTTTTTATAATGTCTTTTTTCTTTTGGGTTCTTTTTCTGATGTGATGACTTTAGGTGTGTTTGACTTTTTAATTTACTCACATTTCCTTGAATTGATGAAGAAGGTTTGACTTTTTTTTTTTTTTTTTGGTTGGTTGGAAAAAATGAAGAAAAGTGTCTTCTATCAAATTGAATGGATTCTCATGGGTTTGTATTTGATGATGAGTTACATTTTTGGTTTACCCTTCTTTCTCCTCTTTTCAATTTCAATTCATTCTTCTTAGTTTAAAGCGTGTTTACAAATGAACGTTTTGGAAATTCACTAGCTAAATGATGTGGTTTTCCATCATTACACATTGGCAAATGGAACTGAGCAAGTAATCGACAAAACTAACTGCCGAGCCAAGAATGGTTTCATTATATGAGATTTAGCAATAAAAAAGAAAACAAAACTGAAGTTTTCATATTTTACTCCTCATTCTAACCAATTTAGCCAAAGTCTTCTGAGCAGCTAAGGTTTGAGCATGGTTATGCCCCAACATCACTGTTCTAATACTAATACAAGTCCTACACAGGTCTTCCCCGCAATCAAATTCCCCTCCTCTAATCAACAACTTTGATCTAGTTTCCAACAATGTTGCCTTGAGCAATGTCACTTCTTTCCACACATATTCATCCACTCTTTGATTATTGCCCTTTTGCAGCTTCTTTTTCCAGCATAAAGACCCTTGGTTGCACCAGTCCTGAATCTGGGACACAAATGATTTTTCAGCTTCTTCAAGAACATTGGTGCACACTTTGAGCAATTCCAGAGCTGAATTGCACATTGAGAATGTGGTGAATGCCTTGAGTGCCAACGGGAGAGCGGTTCTCTTGATGAATAGTACCATGTCCATTGCCTTGAGCTGGATCAATGGGGGTTCTGATTTGAACCCGAAGACAACGAATGCACAGGCCCAGAAATGGTCTAACAAACTGGATAATAACAATGCATCATCAAAACCAGACTTCCTCACTCCTTGAACTGTGGCTTTAGCAGCCAAGATTGCATCTTTACTTCTCTTTGCAAACATTTGAGTAATGGGGTGGAACTGAATCCCACATCCCGGCTGGCGATAGGTCACTCTTCGGGCCAATCCTAATCTAACCAAAACAAGGGCAGATTCCTCCTCTTCATTAGCCCATCCTTGGTTAGCTAAACAGCAGCCTGATGAACAACATCCAAATGTGAGTTTCAAGCAAGTGCTCCACTTCTTTAACCTGTTCTGCGAGACAGGAGGCATATTATTTGCTGCAGAAGATAACAAGCTTGCTGAAATAGGTGCTGCAGCAAACCATGCCCCAACCTGAAGCATTCTCAACGCAAGAAGGTTTGATTGCTGCAAGAAAATGGCGCAAAACTCAAGCAATTTCATTAGAAAAGGATTGGTTCTGCAGAACTGTTGATCCGCAATGCTAAAATTTGCAGCTGTAGCTTCTCCTAGATGGATTTGATTCACAGCTTCAAACAATGCAGAAGGCAAAATTGATAGTTCGGAAAGTAATGAACCAACTATGCTAAGTCCAAAACTTGACCTTCTCAATTTCTCATCAAATTTCCCAAGATACTCCACCTCGTCAGCTGAAAATTCCTCCTTTTTTCTTCCTCTAATTAGTACCATGGCATCCGAAAGGGGCAATTGCTGAAGCTGCATTAAGTCGAAGTTCATTACCCTCGAAAGCCGAGTAGTAATTATAACATGGCTGCCCCCTGTATTTGAAGGAATTAGATCATGTAAATCTTTGCCTTCCCACCATTCCTTTTCAGTTTCCAAATTGTCAATGATGATTAAGTAAGGCATGTCCCTAAAAAGCTCTCTTTTCACTCTCTTAAATGCTTCTGTTTCCTGCTCATCGAAACTCCTGATCCTTCCTCTTTCCTTCTCTGGATCAGCACTCACATCCAATCCTAAGTTAGCAGATATGTTCAATATATTTTGCCTGAAATGTCGAGCTTCGCCACCAATCCAAAAGACCATCTTGTATCTCTGAGAGTATCTGTAAGCAAATTCTAGAGCAAGTTCTGTCTTTCCAACACCTGGTGATCCACTAATGCATACAATGCTGTTTCCACAACTTTTATAATACTTCCCACTCCTTGATTTTTTATACTTTGAAGAAGCCCGTTTCACTGAATTTCTTCCTATAACTGGTTCAACCCAACTCTCTAAATTGGGCTCCTTGCAATTTCCAACCTCCAAATTAATGTACCTTCCTAATTTATTTCCATCGAACTCACTTTCATCATCTGCAAGACCATCAGATTGTTGCCCTGGTGTGGTTGATCCTCCTTTAATAGTTGACACCAAACCACCATTGTCCTCAAAATAATCCCCAAAGCCGAAGAACACGGACTCAATTTCTGCCACTTCTTTCTCTCTTCCCACAAAACATCTATTCCTCGAAAATGGTAACAAATCCTCAAACACAAACCCCTCCATTGTTCCATTCTCAACAACGCTTTTCCTCCCAAGCTTTGCCCTCAAAATCCCCGCAGCATTCGATACACAGCTTCTCCAATTGCCTTCACATCCTTCCAGCGTAAACTCATGGGATTTCATCAGTGCATCCAAGGCTTGTTTACATTCCTTGTTATCAGCATTTCGATTAAAAACTGCCACTGCCTCATCAATATCTATATCAAATAAAAGAGGGATCAAGTTCTTTTTCTGAGCAAAGAACCTGATTTCCTCCAAACTCATATGATTAAGAAGGCTATGCCTAGTTAGCACCACAACACCAAATGTTACTGAGCAAATAACCCTATCAGCAATCTCATGGCTCTGATTCTCAGCATAACTTGCCCTGTCAGCAACAAAACAAGCAATCCCTTGAAGCTCAAGCTCTGACTTGAGCCACTTGCAGAACCTAATCAAGTTGGGATTTTGACCATGGAAACCAATGTAAACATCACAGTTCCTCAGTTTAACATTGGAAGAAGCAGAAGCAGGGGATACAGAGGTTTTAGCAAAAGAAATTCTTGGGACAGGAAATGAGAATGAAACTCTAGGAGCATTATTACTGTTATCTGTAGCTGGAACACAGGTAACAATCTTGGGTTTAGCATTATTATTGGTGGCATTTTGACTGTTGCCAAAATCACATCTTTCTGGAGGCGGAGTGTAGGAAGTGCTTGGGATGTCATCAGACTGGGACCCACTGTATGATCTTGGAGGTGAAGGGTGAGTGAGAGTAGTAGCAGGAGTTGGATCTTCTGATGAGGGTAAATTAGTGGCTCTTGGGGAAATGTAAGGTGATTGCAATGCAGAAACAAATGCTGATGATGCAGGAGAAATGAGGGATGGGGAATTATAAGGAGATGATGACAGTGAATTTGATAACAGCCTCTGTGACAATGAAGAATCTTGAGCCTGAGTTTTTCTCTTGCAAGAATTTGCTATTTTGATGGTGAGGGATGCGGTATCAAGCAGTGGTGGGATGATTTCTTTTGGAGCAAACAATTTGGTGTTTTCTTCATCCATAATATTCTGAAACAATAAAAAAAAAAAACAGATGAAGAGGAGGAAAATTATAGCTGTATCAATGTCTTTAGAAGATAAGCTGAAAGACCATAAAAACTGCTTCTTTTCACCCACATAATATTTCAAGTGATGCTCACAAGAAGTGAATTTGTGAGCCAGGGAAAAGTAGCAGACAAAAAAAAAAACTGAACTTTCTCTGGGATTCTTACACTTATCAAGAACATTGACAGGTGCAATTGAAAGTGGGGGACTGAAACTGATACTCTGAGAGAGAAGATTAATGCAACAGTGAAAACTTCTGAACAACAAAGAAATCTTACATGTGAACTACTAATGTTAATATCATCTTCTTCTCCCCATTGTGGGCCTCCATAATCACAAGTCAGTCAATATCATAATAACCATATGCCACCCCTTTTTTCCATCATAAACCAAAATCATAACTTGCAGGCCAATAAGAAAGAAACTAGCTTTCAAACCCTCCAAAAACGCACTAATTTGGTGATAATGAGGTTAAAAAGATTATCACTTTACCTGGGCTTTTCTTTCTTTTGTTTCATCTATGAGAGGAACAAAAAAAAAGGGGGAAGGAACTTGATTGACTTCCCTTCCGCTGCAAAACAAAACTAGAGAAAGTCTCTCCCTCTTTCTATCTCCCTCTTTTTCATACAGCTTGCAATAAAGGAATTGTTTACTGAATGGGAATCTATGGAAATGGGCTGGATCTCCAAAGATTTGAATATATAATAATGCTTTTATTTGGTGTTTTGGGGTGCTCCAAAAGAAGCTGCAGAGTGTAATTTACAATGAAGCTTAAGTTTATTACTTTAATCCAATCCCTCTTTGTCTCGATCCAGTTAATCAATCTCTTTTTGTTATTTTCTGTTTGCAAAAAGCTTATTAGGATTTAGGATTACTACTGTAACTGGCCAGTTCAAATTCTATAACCGATTAGTTTACCATAACATGAAATGGGAAAGATGGAAAAAAAAAGGTTCATTATCTATTTGGTTTGACACAGACGCCAAAGATGGTCAGAATCAAACCCAGAGAAAAAAGAAAAGTGGCATTGGGGAAAGGAGAAAATGATAAAAGCTCTAAAACCGAACTCCAATTATGATCATTACTTATTGTTTGTTTTTGTGAAAGGGTAGCAAGTTTGAATTAAAAGTTCTTCTAGGCAGGAACAAAACAAAATTCAATCTGTGAACTCCATTCATATAAACAAAACCTACAGTAAAGGGTGTTTGTTTTTTTTTGTTTTCTTTTCTTTTCTCTAAAAAATGGTGTACTCAAAAAGACTGACAAACTTGACATATTTGGGTATGGGGAATTGGACCAAGACTGGTCCAACTGATACTGAAATGGAGAAATGCAAGGAAAGCATTCAAGGCCAGAGGGCCACCTTAAAGGCTTAAACTTGAAAGCTTGAACTTTGATAATTTTTTTACCTTTTCTTTTTTTTTTATTAAAAAAGAATACCTAACACAAATGAAATCTTTAATTTGTAATTATTTGCGTAAATTCTTTTTAATAACTAAGAGTATTACTAACAATAATGCTACAACAACAATGTTTTAATAACTAAGAGTATTAACAATAATGCTATGAAGAAGAAAAGGAGAATGGAAGAGTGGGAAGAAGTTGGTAGTAGGAAATGGGAAGGCTCCATCTGACACTTCTCCACATGCTCTGTACCTTCTTCATTATACCCAGTATTGCCATTTTTTACTATACTGGAGATAATGTGTGTTTCTTAATAGCTTATAGTAATTTTCTTTTCTTTTACACCTCAAATTCTATGCTTAAAGATTCTGTCCACATTTGTTTGGAATCTTTTTTATGAATGCTAGTAATTAGTTTTGATCTGAATGATCATCTCTTTTAATACTTTATTTGGTTATATGTTAAGTTCTGCAAATGTAATCTTGACCAAGAAAATATTCTGCAATATATATTTGATTTGATATGATTTTGTTAGCTCAATGTATCATTAGCATGAAATTGGTATCAATTACTATGATTTGAAGATATCTCAAGGCTTCTTGTCTTATCTATTTATAAATGTATTAATAATATTTTGAGACGAATAGAGTAATAAGTAAAGCGTAATTATATGAATGATAGAATCTGTAATAGGAAATACATAGAGATTTTGTGATGAAGAAATACAAAGATTGAGTATGACCTGGGCTAGACAGCTAGGAAAGGATGGTGAAGCATCATCATTGATTCGTTGCATATTCTTTCCATCTTTTCTATCCATCCAGCTGAAGAAATTGTATAACTTTACAATTATTTATTTATGTTACATATTATTTGAAGAGCTACCCTACTACTTTTTCATCACAGCCTCTAAAATATTTGAATAACAAATTACTTTTTAAAGTACTCCTTCTAAAAGTTCTTTTTTTTTTCCCTTCTAAAAGTTACTATAAAATTAAAATAAATTTGTAAAATGTTAAGCTCTGTCTAAGAAGGTAAGTACTCCCTCCATTTTGAAATATATGTCGTTTTAGAATTTGATGAATTTTTTTAAATATATCTCGTTTTCACAAATCGAGGCATATTTGACCACTTTTTACTAATATTACCCTTGTATTGGAAATGAAACAGTATTTATAATGAATTTTTATTGGTTTATGATGGATTGTATAAACAATAAATGAAGATATTTTTGTATTTTAACTACGTGAATTAATGTTTTCTTGGTTTTGATGATTTTTCTATAAAAACATATAAAAAAAATGGAGGGAGTATAAATTATGCCTGACTTTGACCACATGAAAGACCAAGCTGACATTTTCCTCTTCAATCTTTTCCCAACATAAAACTACTCTGTCCGTCCAAAGAAAAGAAAATTAGTTTATATTAAATTTTTAAATTTTTGATCCGAAAATAACAAATATTCATCCAGAAAAAAATTACTATAAATGAAACATTTATTTTGAAATCCAATGGGAATATATTTGCATGCCCAACAGTAATAAATAGGAAAAGTGGCACAACCGTACAAGTAAAAAGATAGGGAAGAAATTAGACCTCGTTTGTTCAGAAATTTAAATTACAAAGTAATTAATTAGATATGAATTTTAATCATACCCTAGCTCAACACAAAATCATTTCCGCTAAGATTTTTAAAAATAATCATAATGGTCCCAACATTATCTGTCTCGAGGATGAGTATTATTAGTATTTGGCATTGGGGGTTGGTATGACGTGGTAGTATTAAGTTTTTATTTAACGTTATTTTTTAAAACTTTTTTAATTATTTATTTTGCTTTTTTGAGTCTCAATGTACAAAATGGGCATATATTTGAATTGATTTACCCCTCTTCCATGTGCCACCGACTTACATTTTCTTTACTTTGATTGTTTTTTTTTTATTTTTTCAATTGTTATTAATTGATGACTCTGTAAAGTACTTGCAGAGGACCATATGATTAGATTAATAATTGACTAATAATGGCACAAACAGCTAAACTAAAATAGCACTTTTTCCAATTCAAATTATCTAAGGAATAGTTTTTTTCAGCGCAAAAAACATTGTGTTCAATATCAATGAATGTGCATGGAGCGGTACAAATCACACTCTAGAATGTGGTTGTTAATGTATGATTGTATTCAATATTTTTACATAACATTATTGCTTTTATTTGTCATTACACTAACACCTTGGGCTCATTTAACTGTTCAAACTCTGATACCAATAAGCAAAAGAAGACGTTATATGTGCGTCTCTTATTCATATGTTACAATCTAGTATACGAACTGGGGAAAAAAAACGATAAGTCCGTAACTCATGTATTTTCGTTTGGAAAAATTTGGTTTTTAGTCTCAAGGTTCGGGGGATTAAAATCATGTCATCCCAAACTAAAAAAATTGAAAATTAGTCCCAAGATTTGAATTTATTTTGTGATTTAGTCCTACCGGCCAAAATCTTACGCCGGGGACCATCGGAACTCAATTTCTGGTCAATGTTTGATTTTTATTTTTCATAAAGTTTGTAAGTTTATAAATCAAAAAAATTGTAGGAAGGTAAATGGGCCTGATGGACCAAAATAAGTATAGACAATTAAGGCCCAATAGTACCGCCAAGCGGTACCCAACTGTTTTACCAGTTTCCAGAATTCCAGATCGAATAGCACATCCATTTTATCGCCGTCGAATCAAGAGTGGGCCACCACTCCTGCATGTGGCCCATCTGGAACACTCCCACGTTCTGACCAATCTCATTTCTCGAGTATTTCTATTATTTTATAATATTATTATTATTATTATTATTATTATTATTATTATTATTGTTTTTTGGTGATGAAATAAAGAAGGTTTCTTTGTTAATTTATCATAACCATTTGAATCAAATCCTTAACTTCCTCGTCAAAAAATAATTCCAAATCGAGAGCGAGCTGCGAGTGAAAAAAACCCCCACCCAAATCCCAGCGACGCCTACGGCTTCCTTTTCAATTTCATTCGATCTCAATTTCTTAAAATGGAGCCCGAAAAGGTACGCCTGTCATTATTTTAATCCATCGTAATATTCCTTGTATGTTTCAGTCTTCCCATGTTTCTCTGCTTTATGTTCCAATTCTGAATTGAACTGAATTGGATCGGTTTCAATCGGATTGGCTTGGGTTTGGGTGGAATTCTTTGATTTTATCGAATTGTACGGTGTCCAGAGCTGGGATTGTGGTGGATTTTTGTTCTCGATCTTGATCTGAATGTTTGGGTGAATTATACAAAAAAGGAGGAATTCTTTGTTACGGAAATTAGGAATTGAGGATACTTGGTTTGTAGGAAGATATGGATTTGGAGAGTGAAAGTTCAGCACTTGAATCTGTGGAAGATAATGAAGGAATAGTTTACACCTCTCATAAATTATTGGACGATGCTAACGATGATGAAAGTACGGTTGTTGCAACAAATGGAATACATGTTGAAGAAGCAAATCGGGTTCATGAAAGCAGAAATGTGAATGTAATTGTAGGTGTGGATTCAGGTCTTGCGGTTGAATCACCAGCTGCTGGGGCGACTGGGAAATCCTCTCCATCGTCCCCCTCCACTGGGGGCCCTTACAAAGGTAGAGGGTTGAAGAAATGGAGGAGGATCAAGAGGGATGTGGTTAAGGAGGGAGGAAGCCATGTGGATGTGAATAAGTTGTTGAAACGGGGCTTGCCAAATTCCGGTGTCAACTCAAACCACAAACCTGTGCAATTTTCTGGTGGGACAAAGCAGAATAATAGTGAAGGCGGTTCTGTTTCTTCAACTGATGCGTTGTTGAGAAATTATGGGAATGGTTTCGATCTCTTTGCTGCATTTGGCGATCCCAGGGTTGTTGGAGCTGGTGTTGTAAATGAGAATGTGAATGACTCGGAGAATAGTGAGGATCGAAGTAGCAAGTCGTCTACAGCTGCTAGCATTCCAAAGATGCCTGGATATACTTTTGAGAGAAACAGCATGAGGAATTTGAGTGGGAAAAACTTGGTGAATACAGTTCCGCAAGGTAAGATAGGGAAAGCACGGAGCGAAACTAGTAAGAAATTTAGAGGAGAAATGGTCAAAATCGAGAAGGAAAATTCCCAATCCAGCATGGAATCTGATTCCCGAAGCTCCAACTTTCTATTTATGCAGGGCCTCAATTCCTCTGTGACGAGTAATGGGAGGAGAAGTGGAAGATCACAGAATTATGATGGTGTGGGAAACAGTGATGAAGCTCAGGGTAGCGATAGGCAACCCAGTGAGGAACCTCAAGTTGGTTCCAGCGGGAACAATGGTGTAACCTTTGGAGACAACAACCAAGAAGAACTAGCTGCTGATTCATCTTGGCGGACTAAGGACAGAGAAAATGAGAATAATGATTTCTCAAGGGATGAAGATCCACTGCTTGATTCCATTGCTTCTCTCCAGTTGGCAAAGGAAGCACTTGAAAAAGGTCCACTTACCTCCCCCTGTAACTTCGTCCAAATTTCAATTGTTTCTGTATCTGTTTTTTTTTTTTTCTAACTTTGTGCAATCATACCTTCGTGTTCAGAAAAAAAGATGCTAGATAAGAATGTTCCATTATCCCTCCCTGCCTCACTTGTTTCTCCCTAATGTCATGCATGAGTTGTAGTTGACCCTAGATTCGAAATGATTTTAGCTAGTGAAATATAGTGGTTATTGCTAGGTGTAATTGTTATAAGCAAGAGACCATTGTGGATTTGTCAAAGAGATGAATTAATGAACGTGTTTCATTCAGCACTCCTATATGTCACGACTGACCCCCCGTGTTTCATACAGAAATTCATAAATTTATGGAAATCGGAAAGGAAGATAGTACTTCTGATGATTCAAGCCAATTACACTCCACCGATGTTGGCGATAAATCTTTTGATTCCTCAGAACCTGAGGGGATTGACTCTATGCAGACAATGAGAGTTTTGGAAAGCAAGCTTGACGATGCAGAAGCTTTGCTTAAGGTGAAGGAAGCTACAATACTTGAGCTTCAAGAGTCCACCTCATATCACGGTAAAAACACTATGACAGAAACAGCTTTGGACACCGAGCTCGAAACCCTTTTCAAGCAAAAAATTGAAGCTGAAGTCGAGTACTTGGCAATATCAAGAAAGGTCCAAAACTTGAGGGTTTCGCTGGTAGATCAAATTGGTACCATCCTGGTAGAACAAAAAGCACAAGAGACCAGGATTCTGAACAAGCTCGAAGATTCCGAAGATAAGGCAGCAAAGCTTAAGGTCGAAGCTGAGCAATTAGAGAATCGCTGTGAAGAGATTGTAAGCGCCAACGAAACTATGCAGCTGAAGACGAAGGTCTACAAGTACACCTGGTGTTTCCTTACACAGTTGATATTGCTCTTTGCCATCATCCTCCTGTTTATCTGGCAGTTTATGCCCAGTTACCCTGAGGTTGTACCTACTTAAGCAAAACCTTTTCATTATTCTTTGTTTGGGTTTCTCCTCTTGGGTTTTTTTTTTGGTACAGGGTTTTTGTATCAACCAACTTCATAAGAGATGTGTATTTTTAGTCTATTTGCGGAAGTGAATGAATAGATGGATCAGCGTAGTTTCTTTGCTATTAGTACTTCTTTTTGGTGGTGTATTATGGTTACAAAAGGATTTTTTTTTTTTTCAGCAAAGCTGCAAAAAAGAATGATAAACACTAGTAGTACTAATAGTTTTGCATCTGTGAGGAATATCATGTGTGAGAGGCTAAGGATGAAATGGGTTTTGAATGAGGAAACCAATGTGAAGTCCCAAACTAGAGAGTTGTTTGTCTTCCTCGAAAGGATTAAAAGACCGATGTCTGACTGATGGAGAATGTTGGTTAGGATACTGGTAGAGTAGACTGGCGGTAGCCTTGGGAAGAAGATGATATTCCCAATTCCCAAGTTTCAGTTAAAGGTTCATCAATACAGAAATCTGTGAAGCCCTCAGCCGGTCAGTCCCTTTTGAGTTTTTAATGCTATTTAATTACTTGGCACTACAATACGTGTCTTTTTCCGGGAGAGAGAGGAGAGCCATTGTACTATTTTGTATTGACACTTCTTCGGATTTTATTTACACCATCTTCATGTCATCATGTGTGGTATAACTTGAGAGAATAAAATATTCTAAATATATATATATATATATAAGCAAAACAATGTAGAAGAAATAAAAATAATAACAGCCTAAAAATAGTAGCAAAAGAGAAAATTGATAAGTGGAAAGAAGACGTTTAGGTGTTGCTGTGGATTAGTAGTATCTGGTCACGAGAATGTGTGAATAAAACAGTTGAGACTTCTTTTCATTTGCCACTCTTTAAAACACACACAATACACTGAATCATCATCATCATCATCAATAACTACACCCTATATGAGCACTCTATTCTCTTCTCTGTTCTTTACCTCCCACATTTTTCTTTACGTACAACTACTTCAATTCACATACTTCTCACCTTTACCACCTTTGTTTTTTAACTGTAGATTTAAGTAATTAAGCGTCATCTGTTACACGTATTGTGTATAGATTGTGTGTTATAATGTTCGTTACAAATGTACATATAAGTTTGATATACTATAAGAGGAAAATGAGATGTGATCTCCCATCCCCATATTGGACATGGAAACCAAGTATTTGACCAAGAATTTTTTAAGCGGGAGAGAAGTGTTCACAATGTCCGCCTTGGTTTTCTATTATTTTCTTCAATTTGGGACTTGGTCACAAGTCAAAGAGGCATGAGTGGAGGTAGGAGAAGGTAGGTGGACTGAGGTTGAATTGGACACAATCTCAAGTACCCACAACCAAAACATTTTTTTTTTTTTGGTATTATCATATTTATTTGTATATTTTAGCCAACAACAAACAACCCCATGACAAGATAGACTCTTAGAAATGAGACAAAAGGAATATTGAATGAACAGTATATACCGTGTCTTGCAACTCACTGGTATATGCTACAATCTACCATGAAATGAACATTCTAGTGCATATTATGAAATTCACATGCCTTATTAATTCCAACATTAACACCATTTTATTCTATGGCCTACCACATAAGAGCAACTAAAATGCCTTTTAGGAGAAACTAATTATATACTTCTAATGGTGATATACAGTAAATGCTCAAATGGGACAAAAGTATAATGATCTTTTGCCAAAACTAACAAAAAACTTATCAGAGTATAATGGTCTTTATGCTAAGAATGGAGTACTTGGCATGCAAAAACATTTAGTGTGTGGATATAAAGAGTGAGTTGAGTTTTTTTGACTTTTGCCACATTTGCTTTCCCTTCTTCCCTAATAGCCTAATGACAAGAAATCAGTTTCCTTCCTGGACCTCTCTTCTACCTAATTTAAGTAGTGCTGAAGTAGTGATGTGATCATCAATGGGTGGCATTAAATAAATTGAAAATAATAGACAATATACCAAAACACATAGAAGAACATGTGTTCTCTGTATACTATAATGTGATCACCTCAGTGATGAGATGGTCTTGCTTGCATATACAAAAATTGACATAAAACAAGAAGCCATCTAAAAATTGCACCCAAAGTCAGTTAAAAAAATTCTAAGAAAATGCCCACTAAGTAATACTAAATGTACAAATTCTCAGCTTCTTGGTCTTTCCCACAAGAAAGTAAACTGTAAAAGGTAGAACAGACAACCAAAAGAAAAATACCAAAGTTGAAATTTGAGAATGAGGATTGCCCACCAGAAATTCAGAACAAACAAACATAAAGGAACAAAAGATGGTTTACTGACTACTAATTTTATAACTAAACAAAACCATCATCAATTGGACAGAACCTAAGCAGTAGTGTGAACTAAAAGGTGTCTGACTGCATTAGATCCTAGAAATGGTCATCAAAAGAGAGGCTCAAAAGAAAGGAAATTCAATTGAGTTAGAAGTTGCATAACCACAGCCATTTGTTCCCCTAACATCATCATAATCAGCATCCTCCATTGGAGGCTCTTCATTGAGGTCAAACCCCACAGCTTTAGCATGATCAGTATGGCTAACTGCTGGTCCTTCAAAACCAGCAGGTGAAGCAACCTGAATTCTTGCTGCATTGTTGTTGCTCCAGTGACATCTCTTGTGACCTCCAAGCGCTTGACCAGATGGGAATTGCTTGTTACAGATCTCGCAGAGATGATGATCTTGTTCACTACCATCACCACCACTTTCTTCTGCCACCACAGGCCCCTTTGATTTCGATCTATTACTACCAGCACTTTCTTCATGCTGACCATCACCACTTAGTTTTTTTATCCCTTCCATAGTAGGATTTTCATCATCTTCGTGATCGTCATCTTCGTGTTCACCAGCAGCTGCTGTCGATTCATAGTGATCAAGGGCATTTTCAATGAGCATCCTGGATTTATTATGGCCTGACCTATGGCCACCAAGTGCTTGGTGAGTTGAGAAACACTTATCACAAGTGGTGCACCTGAATTTCTCTAATAATTCAGGAGAAGAAGAAGAATTTCCCTTTGGCTGCACTGTCAAAGCTGCCGTTGAAGGAGTGGGAAGATTGTGATCATAATCATGATGATGATGGACTGATTCAAGATCCCTGAGTTTCATCTTCTTCTTCTTCTTCTTCTTGCTCTGGACTCCCATGATCAAATTCCCATTGGAAGTAATGCTGCCAGATTGCTTAAGATGTTGAAGATTCATCAACTGCTGATTATCAAGAGTTTTTTCACTGTCATCATCAGCATCCTCATCACCCCAGAAATCCTTCTTTTCAGCTGCACACTGATCATTAGGCCAGTTAATATCCATCTCCAAATTTTTCCCACCAGCTAAAAAGTCAGTTCTTTGAACACCTTTCTTGATCACATGACCCTTATGATCTTCAATCATACCAGTCCCAATCCCAATGCCACTGCCAACATCACTTTTTCTCTTCTTGCTGTCATCTTCAGTTCTATTCAGCTCTTCCACAGGATGATGCCTTATCCTCCTCCTCTTCTTCTTCTTCGATTCATCAACAGAAACCACCCTTCTCATGTCAATCCCTTCATGATTACTATTGGCTGACCCAAATCCATCCTTAACCACCTTCTGATTATTATTATTGTCAGCTTCAAAGAAACCACCCCGAGCCAAACTCATAAGCTGAAAGATAGCATTCCTCTCCTTTATCCCTTGTTCATCATCATCTTCATCAGCTGCTTCTTCTTTTCCTTTCATGTCAAAAATGGCCTTACGCCCTCTCTTAGCAGTAACAGACCAACAATTCCCCAATGACTTTGATAAATCATCAGTTTCATCCCCTTTTTCCGGATCATCAACCACATGCATATCATCATCATCATCATCATCATCATCATCATCCTCATCATTACTGCTATATTGAGGCTGATCAGGATCAGAAACAGACGAAGAAGGGCTGCCTAATTTATTATTATTATTATGAACTGAAGAAAGTGGACTAAAACTTGGAGGCTGAATTCCCCTCCATTCTCTTTCAGGATGACATCTCATGTGACCAGACAATGACTTCATGGAAGGGAAATTCTTACCACAAATACTACATGGGTAGTCCTCATGATCCAGACCATCTAATTCACTTTGTGATGACTTGTAGCTGCTGTAATAATAATAAGTCGGCTTCTTGTTCACAAAAAATTCCGGCCTTTTCTCCCGTTTCGGTTTCTTGAGCTTCTTGATCATCAAGGGTTGTTGTTGGTTCAACTTTTTGGTGGTAAAGATCAAATCTTTATTGGGCTGGAAGTGAACCCTCATGTGACCCCCTAATGCTTTACCTGACTTGAACCCTTTTCCACACACTTGACATATTCTAGCGAGTGTAACTGTAGCCGCCGCCGCCGCCGCAGTTGCATTATCTTCGGTGTTGTTTTGATTCTGCTTCGCCGGAGATTCCTCCTCCGCCACCTCTTCCTCCTCCTCCGCCCAAGAATTGGTGTTTCCGGTCATCATGTTATGTGTATTTTCATCTTCATCATCTTCTTCTTCTTCTTTAGGAAACTTGAGCTTTATACACAGCTTACCTGCAGATTGATCTTTCCCATGAATATCTCCTCCAAAAAGACTGGACCTTTTCGTCTTCACCATTGAATCCAACTGATCTTCTTTATCTTCCACCATTGATAACTTCCTCAGCTGAGAGAGTAAGTCTTGTTTGTCTAAGAAAAAAAATTCGCAGTCAACCCAAAAGGGGTAAAAAAGAAAAAAAATGAGATCTTTTTAGAAAAGGGTAGCTGATGATATCATGGGCTAAGCAGTTATAAGATAGTGACGGCTCAGATGTGTGTTTTGTGTGTTTTTTTCGATCAAAGGGACCAAAAGGAAAAAAGGGATGGATGCATATTGTGTTTCAAGCAATTATGCAGATGGGTTAAGTGCAGTAATCTGAGCTCTTGGAAGAAAAAGCTTGGAGGCAGAAGAGACTCAAGGAAGACTTATACATAACCCTAAGAGAAAGAACCAAATTTTGGGAAGAAGCAAAATGAGGTTCAAAGAAATATAGAATGGTTGTTTTGGGCTTTTCCTCAAGAATCTTTTAAAAAAAAGAAATTAAGGGAAAAGATAAAACACAAAGGAGAGAATATCGCCTGTGTGGTTCAAGAAAAGGAAAATCTTTTCGTCTGCATATCTCTCTCCCAGCTGGGAAAAAGAACAAAAGATAAAGGAAAATAGGCTGGTGAGTGAAGAAGATCTTAGTTTTTGTCACCTTCTGGCCATGAATCTTACATGCAAATGGAGGTTGAGGATTGGGAATTGAGAAGGAGCCCAGAAGATGAATATGGAAGAAAAGAGGAATTTTTCGAGCTGATTATGATGAAAAAAGAAAATTGGAAGAGAAAAAGGGTAAGGAAGGTACTGAGGTAAGGAAGAGTCGCTTTTTCCACTGTGTGACTGTGTGTATGAGTGTGTACACAGTAATTAAAGAAGGTTTGTGAAAAAGTTTCCATAGTAATATAACAGTAAAAAAAAAAATACTATATGGTAAGTGTGTGCATATTTTGGTGGAGGAGAGGGGATAATTGACTGTCACGTACTCACGTTATTCACCCTCATCTTGTTTAGTTTTTTTTTTTTTTTTCAGAATTAAACCATTTATCTTCTCCTCTTTAATCTCTTCGGTTAATTATTCCTTTTTCTCTCTCTCACACAGTCACGTAATATCAATCTTTCTCTATGTTTTGAGTACTGTTTCTCTGTGTTCACATTGAGGTAAAATAGAAATAGTAGTAATATTAATGAGCGTAATGTTTGTTTTCCTCATGTTTATCTCTTTCTCTTTCTGAGTTTTAACCAAAACTCTAATATTCTCGTTTCCATCCCATGTGTTTTCAACATGAGTATGTTGTAGCAAATTTTGATATGTATTTGTAGGGTCTTTTCTCTCTTCTTTTTTTTTTGTCTTGTCGTTTCTATAAGTGGTTAGATAAGAAACTGAAGATTTACAAATTTTAGAATTGATTTTACTATACACATTAAGAATTTTTCATGTATAACACTCGTAACATAAATTAATTTCCATTCGAATCAAATTAGTCAGCAGAGTTAGTACCGAATTTCCTTGTCAACGAATAGATCCTAACATAAAACTTTTCTTTTAACATTTTGAAGACTAATTTTCTAATTTCTAATTTCTAGATGTAAGGAGGAAGAAAGAAGGGAATGTATTTTGCTTTTTTATTAAAAAAAAAAAAAAAGAAAGAATTTCACTTGTCTAATTGCATCCATGATTAATGGGAGGAAAAAATCTGTATATATACATTCGCAAATCAGCAGGATTCCATAAATTTAAAGGAAAAAATTAATGGCAGCATTGAGTAATGTAATCTATGTGTACAAGACAAACACTTTTTTCAATTATCTTTTAATTTCATTTTTATTTTCAAAGATTGTTGATCATGATTATCACATTATCTCTCCCATTTATCTCTTCCTTCTCACACCTCTATCTAATTTATATTCTCTCAAATGCATGTTCATCTTTTCACATTAATTTCATTGAGAAATGCAGTATAAACACTTGCTAGCACTCCAAAAACCTCAAAGGGAAATTCGAGTAGCAACAATTTACTGAAATCTATGCGAACAGATGGTTTATATTCCTTTGAACTTTTTTGCTTGAGGTCGCGGTGAGGATGAATCAGTGACACTTATTGTTTATACGTTTTATTTTAGAATCGTGTTAGTTTAGAATTATCTCGTGATTCTTGTGCCGAAAATATGAAATAATCATAATGATTTGGATAACCAATTGATCACAATAAATTTAAGACTACTAGATTGAGGTGTTTTTTCTGGGATGAAAATTTCTAAACAAGAAAAAGATGGACGATGATGGTTCAAATTTTGTTTTGTTCAATTTCTTGAGAGTATTGTTTCTGGCGTTCATACATGTATACAATTCCCTATCAATTCTTATCAATTTCTTTCTCCTTTAAATTCAGTTTTTAGATAATAAATGCATGGATTGCTCAACTGAAATTTTTGCTTCATTCTTTGACCAACAGGAACCGCAAGATGTCTCTCTTAACCACCACCTCCAAATCATCAATTATCCCCCATTAACCCCCATTAAGTCGTCTTTAAAAAAAATTATTAATTTATGAGAAACCAACATCGAGATTTTGCACAATTTCTTCCTTAAATAAAAGATTTTTTGCCACGAAAATTTATGATCATGAGACCATCATCGTCGAAATTTCTTCCAAAAATAAAATATTCATCTCACTAATTTTGTTACCCTTGCCTTATTCTCTCGGCAATTCTTTCCGCAATTCTTTCTGTCAAGAACATGAGGTACCTAATCGTATTAAAACTAAAAAAATTACTGCCTAATATAACTTACTGGTACATGATTTTTACAGAGACGTAAACAAGTCCCAAACTTTCTTCCAGATACTGTACGACCAAATCTTTCCTCGTTTTACTTAAATGGATAAAAATGATTGCAAATAGTTTGAGGTAAAACTTTGATGATTTTCAAGATGTGATGATAACGATTACCACATGATACCTGTTATATTCTGTCCGTCCTCATCTATTCCCAATTTCAAACTACATTTCACCGAGGTAAATTTACAGACAGAAAACAGAAGAGTTTATTTCTTTTATATATTCTTCAATTTGGGCCTAAAACTACTTATTCAAATTTAATAGTCCACTTTGAAAGGAACTCCTAGTAAGGTACTAAGGTACTGTATCCACAATATATCTATTAGCCATTTCTCGCATTTTCATCGTCCTTACATAACTGAACCTACAAATCCTCTTCGAAATGAAAAACAAATCATGATATTAGAAAACAAACAAAGTAATACAATCACAAAGAGCTGAGCTCTAACAATCTCTGATTGATCTAAACAAAACTATTCCTTTCACACTACACCTAGAGTACAATACAAGTGATGTAGAGATCCCCAAAATCACATCCGAACTAATCCTTTTAAGAGTCTGCCACAATTACAAAGAACAACAACATGTCGAATCCTCACAAAAGCATATATCAAGAGGAAAATTAACCTTCATAACATGTCCTACATTGACTAGAAGGTTAGGCCCCATGTTCCGCTGCTTATGAATTGTGAGAAGTGTTATAATCACGCATCTCTGACCGGTATCTCTCCTTGTCAATCTGACCTTTTTGCCGATACACCTGCATAACAGTTGGGGATAAAGAAAAGCTTTAGGCACACAGCGATGCTCAAGAAATTCATGTCTTTTCCCGACTATGTCAATAAAGCTTTCTAAACTACTAAAGAGCTAGTTGTAAATCATATGATCTAAACAGACATTCTGACCTCAAAGAAATTCAAGGTGCTAAAATGACTGGAAAAATAAGATTGCATTGAAGAGGATGAGATGAACCTGTTTTTCAGATTCAGACAATTTGTTCCACAAAATTCCAATTTTCTGGGTAATAGCTCTCTCTTGCCCTTGGTGTGAAGGCTTCAGTCTCGCATAATTCTCAGCGAAGAAGATATTGTACCCATTCTTATTTCTTTTGGGTCGAGAGGGATCCTTGAAACCCAACTTACGCCTCCGGCGCCTTCTTGGAGCATGCCCAGACACGCTGCTCAACCTCTGTGACATTTGTGATGATACTTCAGGTACATGATAAAGAACACCATTCAATTTCTCGGAGCCAAACTCGACAGAAACCAAGTATCCATAATCACATTTGGCATCAATGGTTCCAATCACCGAACTGCCGGCTTCCAGTACAGGTATATCTGTGGCATACAGAAAGAACATCTTCAAGCATATGCATAAGAGAAGAGAGGAGAGAATCTGAAGGTAGTAAGAGGAGCATTCGCTTCCAGATGCTCACGAGGACACAGATTCGCATCAGTAATTGAATCAAAACATTACGAAAATGAAATTAACTCATCATGCCACAACGAGACATCTCTTCTTTTATGCTTTATCAAAGCTTGGACTGAATATTGCATGATTATAGTCCCTAACTAAAAAATGCAAACAAGGATACCAAAGAGACAACTCAGACCTCAGCCGAAAACTTATACGAAGTCTGACCTGAACAATGATTGAGTTTGAAACCATCCACAAGACTTTGTACACCTGCTTGTCCATTGACAACTCTACTTCCCGAATCTAATCAAATCAAGATGCAGTAAGTGTTCAGAATGATGCCATCAAGATGCAGTAAGTGTTCAGAATGATGCCAGAAGCAGTAAGAAGTACTTTCAGAAGAAAATTCAATACCAACACCAGTAGCTGATGCAGAAGTCTCTTCTTTCCGAAAGTAATAGACCTGCTCAAAGTGATAAAGTAGTGACAGATAATACTTCCGCAGGACAAATGATGCACTGGTTAGCGAAGATGGAAACTTGAAGGCCGCAGTTACTTCCTTCCATCTGCGATCTCTTATCAACTGTAAAGATGCCACAAGTTTCCAGATTAAACAACATCCATGGCCAGACACCATCTTCTGGCAAATTTACACTGGAGATGTTACAAGTAAATGGCAACAAAGTCACAGATTTCGTATAGTTAGATTCACAAAATCATTAACTCTGTCCTTTACTTTAATCACCACGCTATTGCAGCAACATTTCATGCGTTACTTTAGCCAATAACAATGGCAAGACCTAATGTCAGCTGATACCGTAAAAGCAACAAAACATCCGACCAGCATTCTCACTGGCAACAAGTCAGAATTTTTGTATATTTACTATGCTTTACTGCTATCATCCTATTGCGGCAACATTTCATGCATTTCTTTAAGCATAACAATAGCAAGACCTCATGTCAGAAGACACCATAATTCGTAAAAGCAAAAAACACAATCAAGCACCATTCTTTCTGCTAAAATTCATGTATCTATTACCGCCTGACATAATTTTCCACATCACCACTCTTTAATATTTCCCCCATAAACCGTGGTAACATCATTTAGTCAGATGGATTATCCTTTGACCTATCAAGATAGCCCCAAGAATATTTCCCTTCAGCTAGGCACATTGCATTAAAGTCCTCAAAAAATCTCAATCATGCATACTGCAATCAGATTGATGGAAGGAATCCCCTTTTTGGATTAAAAATTATCAGATGATCACAGCAACAGGTTTTGCATACTTTCCTAATTCAATCTTCTAAGAGAAACTCCCAAAAAACATTTAAAAAATCATACCTTCTCAATCCCACCACGAGAGGTTACCTCCACAAAAAGATGGTGTAGATCCAACGATTTTCCTCCGAGTTTAGGAATCCTGCAAGAAGTTACCACAATTTATCAAGCTTTCCACTGTGAAACCCTTACTTGGAAACATGTTCATCAATCAACCAATCCGCTTTCTAATCCTTGATATTGTTACAACAACAACGGCAAACTTCATTCGGACAGAGCAACAGCAACAGAGATACTTTAAAACAAATATTTTTGCCAAAAAGTCTCACGTTATTACCAAACAGACAAAAGTAACCAACTTGGATCATCCTCTCAAAACCCACACAGACAGATATCAACAAAAAGCAAACTTTTCGCATGCACCCTTTTCAAGTAGCAAGGATTCACAAAAACATCTGAAAAGTAGTTGGTAAATGGAAATACAAATAATCAGCTTAACAATTCAACAATGCATTCGAAGTCCTAATTGCCAAACTCAATCTTCAATCCTGACAGCCACAAAGCCCAGTGGAGAAAGGAAACATCCTAGAAAACTGCTTGCATGGGCCTTGTGCAAGTACCCGAAAAACTTATAAAAGATTTAAACATCTTTAAACTCATAAAGCCATAAAATTAGTCAGAAAGATGAAAAGAACTAATAAACAGTATGAATCAGCCTAGCTAATCCGACAATGCATCAAGCCCTAAATCCTATAATACAATCTTCAATCCTGAAACCCAGAAAGATCTTCCCGATTAATCTTTTCTCAAAAAAATAAACAATAAAAACTTGCATGCAACCCTTTTCAAATAGCACCAGAAAAAGGCAAAAGCGGAACCCGGCTGGGTAAACTCACGAAAGCAATAAAATTGGTACAGAACATTGAAAACAGGAAGATACAGGAATCATCAGCCAAGTACAACACAGAGATACAAAAATAAAAAAGAAGGAAAAAATCAGTCATTAATACCACAACCCAGAAAATTCATTCCCAATAAGAAGAGGAGGATGCTCTATTTGGAACTTACTTCAATTTGGTAGTTCCAAAAGAGGAGTGAAAAGATTGAAGCTTTTGGGAGAAAAGGTCTGGATTCTGAATAATTTCTTGGTACTCCGCTTCAGGCTTGGGGTAAATGAACTTGGGCTGTTGATGAAATCCGGTGTTACTGAAGTTGGGTTGCCCTCCTCCTCCTCCTCGAGCTGTTGCTGCATTTGCAGTAGTATACAGGCCATCTGACATTTTCTTTTTTTCAGTTTGCCCTTTTACAAAATATCATTAATTTTATAATTATTACTGTGAATAATTATGGAGGGATAAGTTGGATTTAGCAGGAAACAATGGAAGAATTTGGATTGACCAGAGTCACCAGACGGTCAGAACAAGAACAGAGGGGGGCAAAAATTCCTAATTTCATTTCATCTTTTTACTTTCTGGTAATTTATGACGAGATCGAAGACGATGAGGCTTTTTTTTTTTTTTTTAATTAGTATTTTTTATCTTTTCGTTTTTTGGGTTGGGTTCCCTCGCTCTCTTCTGTATTTAACTTATTGGGCTTTTCTGTTGGGTCAAGCCGGCTAAAATCCATTTCTACAACCATTTTAAAGTTTTCTTTTTTTGTAGTTTTTCAATAGTGTGATGAATGACGACGGACTCTTGGGGTATATATATATATATACTAGTGATGTCTGGCGTGACCCTGGCCCAGTCTATCTGTAGATCTTAGAAATATTTTTATTTGAAAAAAAATAAAATTTTTTATTTAGAGCGATATATTTTAGAAATGTTTGAAGGATTTAGAAATGTTTTATAAGTGTGATTATAGAAATATTTGTATTTCACAAAAAAAAAAGAAATTGTATTTCGCCATGTATGTTTTAGAAATGTTTTATAAGTGTTACTTATTAAATATAAATAAACTTAATCGAATATATATGTTGAAGTAAATGTTAGATAAAATATAAAAACATCCTAATAAGTTTAAATATTAGTAAGATGATTTATTGATATTCTCCATTGGTCGTGCCAAATCAATACTTAGTTTTGGAGATTTTTAATATCTTCGTAATAAGTTTCATCCGAAGGGTATACGCTTAAAACAAAATTGACACTTTGTAACAAAAACCTAATTGATCAATTCAATTTAGAAAACCATTCTAATTGAATGAAACATAAAGAAAAAAAAAATTTAAAAAAAAAATGTGTCACGTAAAGTGCAAAGGGGGATTTAGTAATTTAGTTATGGTTAGACAAAAGGGCAATTTAGTACTTTCCTCATGTCACGTGGCAATTATATGAGATGTTTGAAAGAAAGGTTTTTGTTTCTAATATAGTAGGATATATTTGGCCAAATATATATTTTATTAAATTTACTTAAACAGGGTTCTGGTTACAAAGGTTCTGCACCAGATCATTTACTAGTCGGTGTACATTTTAATCTATATCTCTAGACATTCTAACTACAATACGGTAAGACATATAGGAAACAAACTCTAGAATATCTGTCTTGAGATCACTATACCATGTCGGAATTGATATTTCATTACGTACCATCTGTGGAGACTTGTTACAATCCGTATTAATACGAACATCCGTCCATACGTACCATTGGCATGTTTGCATTGCCCATTTGATAGCAAATAACTCCGCTTGTGTAACATCGAGGCTGAAACATTTCTTAACAGTTTCGTACATCACCGTTCCTTCTCTATAGCCGCTTTTCCCCTTTGTTTTACAAAAGAACCGTCCGCTTTCCCCCTTATAGTCTTGTTTTTTTGAGATTATAGTCTGGTTATAGTCTTGTTGATTAGTTCGGTTTGTCCTAGTTGTTAAATCACAAAAAATACACTCCACCATATAAAGAATGCCCACATTAGTGTAGAAGCTATAATCAATCTTGTGTCTGAGACTAGAGCACCAAAACAACGCTAATCTCAAGTTGTTCTAATTGACACTTGGAGCTAAATTAGTAAAACAGGAGCTAAGAGGAAAAAGCAGTCACAATCTGGTGCATAAACGCATTATAAATCTTGCATTCATCATGCTAAAACTAAAATCTTATTGTCACAAGTTCACAACTTAGTTTGAATCGAACTGACCTCTCTCTCACTCGACATTTGCCATAAAACAAATTGCAAAAGAGTAGGGGGGAAAACACAGGGAGATGAAAAATAATCTTTGATCAACAACAATCATCAGCCATCGTACCAAAGAAGTCTATAAATTATACACATCTAAAGAAATTAAAAACAAAACAAATCCCAAACATAACATTTCAATTAGATTTGGAGAAAAAAAGAAAAGAAAAAAAAAAACAATCAACCAAAATTAAAAGAACTTGGGATCATATCCATTGCTGGTGGTGGCCAGAATGTAATAAGCAACAACGTGTCCGATGGAACCCCACGCAAGAACATCAACGATGTTAAATCCAACCGGGTCATTCGATTTGAGCAAGCTCACGTACTCTTTAGCCCTCTTATCTCCGGCCTCGAAATGGGTGATCCCGTTCTGCTCCGGCACCTGTTTCGCCACGTTTTCTCTCTGGAAGTTGAAGAACACGAAGCGGCCCAAGAAGAGGGATAATCCGGTGCTCAAGCTGATGACCAGGGGTGCGCTCAGCTCCGCCTTGACTCCGCCGTACTTGGTGGATTTCTTGGTGGAGATTGGCCGGAAGGAAGAAACAGGGGCGGCAGCCCGGAGGGTGTCGGTGGGCTTGTTGAGAGGCCTGAGGCCTTGGAAAGATGGGGCGGAGAACAAAGTGGATGCCATTGATGTTGGAGGAATTCGATTTGATTGATGATGGATGAGGGGATTGGATATTGAATTTTATGTGAAAATGTATGAAGAAAAGATTTAAAAATGCAAATCACAGAAACAAAGGGGATTTGAGAGTTTGAGGTGGGACATGGGGAAAACCCAGAAACTGATTTGTGAGGAGGGAAATGAGAGAAGAAAGATTTTGGATCATCTGACTTGGCTTTGTTTCATTGGTCCTCTTTGGATTAGAGATTTTTCACCTTTTTTTATTTCTTGGTTATTTTTGCTATGAGTAGATATTTTGATATACAGAATTATAAACATCCGGATCCGTGGCGCAATGGTAGCGCGTCTGACTCCAGATCAGAAGGTTGCGTGTTCGATTCACGTCGGGTTCAAATCCCTGAAATATATCCGGAATTTTTTTTCCCTTCACTTTCTTGTCGGGGGTTTGAAACTTGAAAAACACAATTGGTGATTTCGTGCCTTTTATATAGAATCGAGCACTTTCAGTCGTCAATGGTCTTACTTACTATTCGTTAACCTCTATTTTTAACTTTTTATCTGATCTTCATGTGATCATCAAAGTGAGTTATACTACTTGAACATGTTTGGTGAATCTCATACAAGAAAGTACATTATCGGACATCCCCCTTCCCCATTGTTACATGGTCCCTGTATAATGCACTCTCTTCCTGAGATTGTTTTGACTTCTATGCAATTTCATCACCTTCAATACTTGGCTTCAATTATATGCATGTAATCAGTTGTAAGCCCCAGTGGCTACCAATCACTTGACCAAGCATCACAGTCTCCTCCAGATTATCAAACACAATAAACAGTCCAATATCATTTGCTGCAAGCCTGCAACTAAATTGCAGCATCCATGTTCACAGCCACAAGGTTTTTAAGCTGTCCAATACTGGCAACTAGCAACGAAGAAAGAATAGTAGGGTAAAACAGTAAGTCAAGGGAAACGAGACGTTGCTGCATAACAACGGTTTGAACTTCGTTTCAATGCAGAAAGAAACTGCCTCGTCCTTTAGACAATCGTCTTTTAGAGGTACAAAAGACAAGACATACATGGGGATCAGACAAGACAATTACAACAAGTATAAATACCTAAGCTACAAGAACTACAGTTTCACCGGACAGAAACATGACAATCCCTTTCTATGACACATTTTCATAGCCTGGCCCCTTTTCCAGTTTGAAACCAGGTTTCTTTTCTTGGTCTGGCCTTCTTTTCTTTCTGTACACTCCCTCCTCCCAATATTTTTCTCCATCGGACACAAAATGTAACACCACCCGACAGCACTAGCGAAACAAACATCACCAAATTTACACCTATCCCGAACTAGGACATAACTCTCTACCCCTAAACAAGGATTTCTAAGTTGGGCCACATCCAGACGAACCAATCCAGCTGATTAGCACATTAATCAACTCAGATAATCATGTCAAGGTATGAGTAATTTCGCCGTCGCCCGAACTCGAGAAGGCTACCATATGTACGGTCCCAAACGCCAACAAAAAGAGACTCCGTATCAGGGCTAAATGACATGCCAGAAATCTCCCCAAAGAAATCAATTTCCTGCTCCTTCTCATACCCACTTTTGACATCAAAAACATGAACAAAATCTGCAGGCTCTGCCATTGCCATGAACCTACCATCAGACGAATAGCGTATCGAACGAATGGCTCCAAGGTTACCCTTCAAAGCACTGACTGACTGGGACAAATTACGCATGTCCCAGATACGACAAGTCTTGTCCTGGTTGCCAGTAGCAAAACTGATGCCATCAGGATGCCATGATGACGCAAATGAGTAATCACGGTGTCCACTTAAGTTTGCAACTGACTGCAAGGATTAGATTTCAAGACAGATATCGGCCTATGATACGATCCCACAACTTAAATTAGGACTTGAGAAATCCACTGAATAGAAAAATTACCTTTCCGCTTCTAGAATCCACCAACAAACCCTCCTTATTGTCTCCAACGATTATTAAAAGTTTACCATCAGGACTCAAGGAAGTGTGCTGTCAAAACAAAAATCCAAAGCAAAGTTAGCCCTCTACATGGGCAAATAGCTGACTGGCTATAAAACATGGTAACAGGGTCTAGAAGCAAATGCAAAACTCTTTCAAAACTTATAAGTGGAAACTGGAGATGCCCAAGAAGCCACCCCATCTGTTCCTTAATGAAGCAGCACTTTTTAGTTTTAAAACACGACCATATCTAGAGCAAGTACTTACATTGACAGGCCATGGATAATGGAAATGCCTTGACAATTGAAATTTTTCCATATCAAAGTCTCTCACTCCACAATCATTATTTGATGCCGTGAAATGAACTGCACCACTGGAATGGAAAATGGAGTAGCTCAAGACGGTCAAAATCTAGGTACACATCACCCAACCTGTACAGTGCAAAAATACCACTTACCTTGGTGTAGTATAAATATCGACCGCATTTGTAATAGCATTATCATCATAAGTCGTCCGGGAACAAAAGCTAACACCAGGCCTATCCAAAAACTGCACGACAATCAAGTAAATACTCCATCAACAAGAGAAGCAAAATGGCTCAGCCTCGTAACTTAAGGCAAAAAGCTATCTACCACGAGTAATAAGTTAGTTCCCCGGCTCCCTATACCTTAATGTACTACCCCACGTCAGTAACCAGACGACACTTCAAGCGAAGTAAAATAAAGATAAAAAATCTAAAACAGGCGAAGAAATCCTCTTCAAAACAGATGTCAACGGGCATCCCTGAGCCAAACCCACCATGGGCAACGAGAAAAAATTAAAACCACACTAAGAAAACCCCCTTTTGGATCTTTGCATCATTGTGACCACAGAGAAAAAGGTTCAACAATGAAACAGCCAGCATCAAGACAGTGTGAAAAGAACTTCCATGCAAACTAAAGAAACGGATCAATTCCAAGAATGAGATTAAATATGTAAAAGACAACATACCTTGCAAATCAATTCTCCCTGGAATCCTCCAGCAACTAACAGATTATCTTTCACGGCTAATGTGCTCACTTGCGTCTGCGTAAACCCTTCAAGCAGGCTTCCAGGATGTTTCTAAATGACAGAGAAAGAAACACCCAAAATAAACAGAGTGCTCCATGCAAAGACTAGGCCAGACCATTTAACCTTCATATACTTCACAAAACAAATTTATATGATAATCAACATGTACCTCACATGGTGCCACATGGCCGGAAACATTAAGAACTTCTGACTTATTGCATGTCAAGGTAGACCAGTGTATAACAGAGAAGTGCGACATAAAGTACACATCATGTTTAGATGTAGCCCACACCAGATTTCTCAACTGCATTTAATCAGGCAAGCCAAAGTTAAAACTTGTAGGAAACACCCCCCCCCCCAAAAAAAAAAACAAAAACAAAAACAAAGAATGTAGAATACCAAGCACCGAAGGGCAATCACCTGGAAATGCAGGATAGTCGATTTGACAGATCTTGAATTCCGTCTGAACTCATAATGTATAGCCCCCTTATCAGTGCTTTTGCACTCCTGCTCGACGGGGCATTAAAAAAAAACCAACAGCACAAATTACAAACTGAAAATACTTAATCATCCAAATCTATGTACATTGTCTAAAAAAAATAGGGGAAAGAAGTCCCAAAAAAAAGAAAGGAAACAAAACCATTTACCTTCTCTAATCCTTCACCGGATTGAGGAATGTTTTCATAATTTTTGTACTGTTGTAATCTAGTTTGCCTGTACTTATCCCTGGTTATGCTAAGCCTCTCCCAAGGAATTCCTTGTATGTCCCTTCCTTCCCTAGCTTGAGCAGCTGAGGTGTCTTGCATTCGGTTATTCTACAGGGAACCAGTGCAAAGGTTATGGGCATCCAATGAACACAAGTAAACTAAGAAAAACAATTTGATCACATAGTTACCAAATAATCATATTCATCAACATCAGAATCTGAGCCTCCTTCCCTGACACGGAGCTCATCATCCATATCATCATCAACATCATCCATTTCATACTCATCAGCCATATATTCGGCATCCTCTTGGTGGTGAGACATGGTCTACTCAATGAATAGACCGTCTAAAGTAAATCAATCTGCATGAAGTAGCAATTTCACAATCCAATAAATACACATCTCAGACACCAACAGCGTGAAAATCAAATCACTCTTAAGTTGGGCAGGGAGGGGGGTGAAGTAAACTTCAGTCACACGACGATGATATTCTTAAACTCAAACAAATACATAGTGTGAGTCTCAAGTAAATCCACAAGCATCAGGAATTAAATTGTCTTGTAAGTCACTATCATCTCATAATCAACTAAATAAGGTTTTTGCAGATTGATTCTAAGCACAATTAGCCTATCATTTCTCAAGTAAACTTCAACAATGTCAAGAATGGAGGAAACCATCCCAGCAGAGAAAAGAAAGCATACATTTCAATGAAATATTACTTAAGACAACATCCTGCTAAAACATAACATGACCAAAGAGAGCAGGTATGACAATATAAAAGCCAACATTATCACTTAAACAATGAAACAAAATTCTAACTTCGGGGGTTAACTCTCTGCACCCACATCTCCGACTTAAAGGAATCAAAACAACCTTAGAATCCATTATTCAACCAATACATACACATGCAACATCAAATTCTATCTTTTAAGATGCTAAAATTACAGCATAAAGAACCTTTTCAACAGACAAGCAGACCAGAAGCTCTTATAAGGTCCTTGCCAAAGATGAATTAGACGAAAGGGGAAATAAAATGTTACCATTATAACAAAACTTTAGACTAAATACCAGCCCGCAAAATTCTATACAATCTATCTATCGGGAACGTGAACTCCAAGAATTAACCCAAATAAACCCATCGTTGTAGTGGCAGTAAAAAATGGGTAAAAAAAAAAAAAATTCCCAGCCCAGATATAGTAAAAATTGCAATTAAAATCACTCAAAGAACAAAATTAAAAAATATCATGCAGAGCTTCATTTAGCCAAATTTAACCAGTGAAAAGAAAAAATTCCCAATTACCAATAACATGCACAAACCCTCGGGGAAAAAACCCCCAAAATTAGATGGGAAAATAGGTATAACCCACCATAATCTACCCTCATCAACAGAGAATTCAATCCAATCAAATAACCAAGGTAAGCCCTAAATAAGAAGCAAACGGCAAAAAGGGAGAGAAAAAATTAATAAATTAAAAAATCCTACCTGTATCCGGGAACCAAAAAAAAAAAGACCGGAACGGAGATTGATGACGGAGGTGCCTCTGATCTCGATCGCCAGAACAGTAGATCGGAATTTATTAACACGGAAAATTAATTTTAATTTATTCACTGAAAAAAATCTCCCGAAAATAAAAATTGGAGAGAAGCAAAAAAGGGGAAAAAGCAAAACCCTTAATTTTGGCGTAATTAAAAATATAGATCGCGAAAGGTCTGGTGGAAAGGAGAGAGATGAGGGGGACTAATATCTGTATGTAAAAAGAAAGAAAGGAAAAAAAAAAAAAAAAAAAAAAGAGGAAAGGATTTTCTAATCCTTTTTATTTCATATAATGTTATTTCTCGACACGAATCGTTTAATTTGGTTAATTTTAGTCTTCTTAGTTTTTGTTTGAATCAATAATTTTTAATTGTTTGTAATTATTAATTATTACTCTAATATTTAAATTTTTCTATATCTATTTGTGTATTTCTACTCTGTACTATTAAACTGAAACATCCTATATTCACCGGTTTTCAAGAATGTCTTTAAAAAATAAGACTAAAATTAGAAATGTTTAATATTATTAATTCGTGAATAGATTTAGTGTTTTCCAATTATTGATAAATATGGTGATTATTGATGGATTTATTATCTACGGCTCTAATAAAAATCAATGGAATTGAAATGTTTTCTATGACTAATTTTATTAATTTGACACTTAAATGATAAATCTGTGTGGTTGATTGTTAAGGGGGACTAAAACTAATAATAATGACTTAATGAGGAACCAAAAGTGTTACATTATATAAATATGTGTATAAAAGTGTCATTACCATAAAAATAAGGGACCAAGAATGCAAGATATGCATAGAGTTTATCCACTGATTTTCTTTTTTCACCTCTCTCTACGAAAGCGACAGCTTTTTCGGCGACGGATATATCACGAATTTACTACGCACCTCCACTAGCCCACCGAAACGGAAATTGATAGATTACGGAATTATTATTAGTGTCAAAAAATGACGAGAAAATCCACTGCCAACTTTGTAATGCAATCAATATTTGGGGGCCGTTTCGGTATCAAGCAATTGCTGGGCCAGATATCATTTCACTTCAAAAATAAAAATGCATGGAGCATCAAATTTTAAAATTTTCATTGAATTTTCCTAAGAAATTATGCATAATCAGTTCTTAATTATTTTGCAAGGCAGTAATATATTAATAGTAATTTCAGATTAACATATGCATGTTTAAAATGTCATTTATAATTTGTGTGGTATGATTCGTTTCTGGCAAACTCTTATAAAACAAATACGAAAAAAACCATGTGTACCAACTGATATATTTTTTGGCAATAGACCTAACGAGTTCCGAACTACGTTAATGATTGATTAGTCTTAATTAATTGACTGAAAGCTGCTAATATGATAGGATGAATTGGTGAAATGGTAAAACCAAAATTGGTCGCCATTTTTTTGTTTATTATTATTGATTGAGGTCTTTTTTCACTTGAATCCTTCCAAGAAATAAACAGGGGCCTTACGAGAAAAGTACGTACTTCCTTGGCGGGGTTTAAAAGACAATTGTGTTATTTTCGAAGGTTAATTATTTATCTCGAAAATATCTATTTATTTTGTCAACAAAGTACTGTATCTATTACTATCATCTTTCCTCTCACCCAAAAATAAGCCCACAGCGAATTTTTTTTTTTTTGGGTACAATAAGAGAGACTAAATGCCTAAATCATACTCCTTATAATTCAAAAGTTTAATTATTTATCTTGAAAATATCCATTTATTTTGTCAATTAAGTTTTTTTAATTATCATTTTTCATCTCACCAAGAAAAAATCCATAATGTGTCTCAAAACTCATTGCGGAATATTTTCTTAGGTGGAAAATTTTTTATTAAGAGTTGGATATGTGTGAGTTCAGATGTGAAGTTGAAAATTTTGTTTCAGTGTTTTATTGAAGTTTTTATAGAGTTAATTATATTTTAAAGCCATTATTGGCTCCATGCTTAGGTGAAATTGTGTGCAGGGATGGCTCAACGTTTCGAGGGGTCTAAAGCGAATTTTCTTGTTAGGGCCTTTTAAAAGAAAGAACTAAAAGAAAATAGTTTTCTTCGTTTATTTACGTTTAAGAGACATGTTTCTATAAATCAAGAAATCATAATAAGGGGATTTTTTTTAAAAAAAAATATTAAGTTTATTTTTTAAGCTTTTTTCTCTTTCAAAATTATTTATACTGGTTAGTTTTTCATTTATTTGGACAAATTTTTTATGAAAGTTTCATAATATAATTGATAGCTTTCATACTTTCTGGAAAAAAGTCGTTTTATTGATTTAGTGGTTTGAAAAATTAAAAAATTTTATTGTTAGATTTTTGAAAATTAATATTGACATTTGAACATATTTAGGTATGTGGAGTTGAAAATGGAATTAAAATTTTTATTTTTATTTTTTCTTTTGAAAGCAAATATTGTTTTGTTTTGGTTATTTTTCTAATTATACATGTATATAATATTGTTTTTTGAAGAGTATATATAATATTTAACTATTATTAAAAATTTGGAGACTAAAGCAATTGCTTCACTTGCTTTGTGGAAGAGCCACCTCTGGTTGTGTGCTGGATGCACAGGAGTAGTCATAATAATACACACTACTTCATGATTTTCTACCTCGCTGAGAAGAAATTCATTCAGACGAATATTTTAACATTGTGCGGAGTATAATCAAAATTACTAAAGTTTGGGCCTCGATATACTTGCAGTAGGAGCAGAAGGTGCACATCATGGATGTATGAGATTCTGGAACACATTAGCATTGTGGAGTGAGAGATCCAAACAGCGTGACTGCAGCTTCCATACAAGATGATGCAGTATGATATTGGTGGCAAAGATGATGAAGATCGTTATTATAGTTGGATTGAGGAGGAAGACTTGCTAAAGCATCGAACCCTTGTTTCCTTGCACCCTCGCAATCATCGCTTATTTTGCGAGGGTTTGGGTATACTTTCCAATTGAAAAGGTGGTTATGTATGTGTTCATCAATTGCACCCTGAGGATTTTTCTTCCACCATTTATTGGTTTGATCCCTCTAACTGAAATTGAGAAAAGATCGTAAAATATCACTACTGATTCAACCACAACAATTAGTTTAGAAAACCACGATTTTGTCCTATTGCCGACACAACATGATCTCGTTTTTTCGCCACTTGATCACCTCTTCTCCCTAAATTATTTTGTTTTGCTTTGCTTTTATTGGGTTTTTTGAATAGTGCTATGTAGCGTTGTACTAGTCAATGAACCATTATGTAATGAAATTTGTGTATCAAAGGAATTATTATTTTTATACGGTTTATTTTATATATCATTTTAACTAGATGTTACGCTTGTATAATGTTCGAGGTAGAATACAATCTATTTATTCACAATGATCATTATCAACATTAGTTTGATTCGACAATATTTAGCAATAACTTTTAAAATTAATGATTATTGTAATATTTAGTATATTTCCTATTATGTTCTAGTTTAGGGTTTGTTATTGTCTATATATAGTCTGTATATTGTGCACAACATATCATGAATCTAATACAATTTCCCTATTCTAAGTTGGTATAGAGTTAGGTTTTAAAACAACCCAATTTTTTCTTTCCTCCTTTTTCTCTTCCCCGCCGCCGGTTTTTTCTTTGGCCGTGCGCACTCCATCTGCCTCCACACACAGCCGTCACGAACAGCCGCCGCACACACGCGTTCTTTCCGCTGCTACCGTGTTGCTGTCTTTCCGTGCGCTCCTGTCATCGTCGTCGTCTCCCTGCTGCTGCTGCCGGTCCGGTGTTCCTGTGCTCCCGTTGCACTCTGCTGCTGCCGGTGTTCCTTGCTTTGTGCTACTGCCGCCGCCGTCCTTCTGCTGCTGCCGCCGGACTGCTTTCCTCTGTTGCTACTTCGGCTGCCGTCGTTCGTCCTTTTCGTCGGCGTGCTTTCCTCTGTTCTCGTCGGCGTGCTGCTTCTTTGCCGGCCGTGGATCGTTGCCGGCGTCTTTCTGATTCGTCGGTGTCCTTGTTTGCCAACCGCCGCCTGCTGAACTTTGTGAAGAAAAAAAAAAAACAAAAACAAAAACACCGACCTGTCAATTGAGCCTCGTCGGTGTCCTCGTTTGTCGCCGCCTGCTGAATTAAAAAAAAAAACAAAAAAAACTGAGCCTTATTCGGTTTTGCGTGCTTTCTTTCGACGATGACTATCACCGACCTGTCATCCACCGACCAGGCTACCCACCTCCGGCCGGCGGCACCTCCTTCACAGACACCCGTATCACTCCTTCAACCTAGTCTACAGTCTCTTAATCATTCCTTTACTGTGAAGCTGCAATCTCGGGCTAACTATTCGTCTTGGCGTCTTCAGTTTACTCCTTTATTGACTATGTTTCATGTTGCCGGTATTGTCGACGGCACCGAACCTGCACCACCACGTTTTCTTCCTTCCGTTAGTGGTGTTGTGCCCCAACTCAATCCTGAGTTTGAGATCTGGCAACAAAAGGATCAGTTAGTCCTCTCTTGGATTCTTTCTTCCGTTACTGAAGAGATCTTTCCCGTTCTCCAGGGTTGCACAACGTCGGCGGCTGCATGGACAGCTCTTCAGTAGGGTTTCGGCACTCTTTCTTATGCTCAATGAGACCCGACTTGTTATGGAGCTCCACACTTGCAAAAGGTGACTTGTCGGTCACGGCTCTCCTCTCCAAAGTGAAGGGCATCGCCGATACACTGCACTTGCCGGCCATCGCATATCTCTGCGGAGTTTAATGCCATAATCTTCCGCAAGCTTGGTGCCGAATTCAATGGCATCATCGGAGCTTTGCAACAACGATCCGAACCCCTCCTATCAAGATCTCCTTGGATGCTTAGTTTCGTATAAGGTGCTTCTTCACGCCCAACACCCGGTCCTTGACCCATGGCCATGCTTGCAGCCGCCACCTTCTCCTACGCCGCCTCAATCCTCTCGTGCCGGTCGCTCGCAACGCGCGGCCGGTGCAATCAGTTTCGGTCGTGGTGGTGATCGGCGTGGGTATACCCTCCCGCTCCGGTGAGACGTGTCGGCTTTGCGGCATCTTGAATCACACGGCCGCCACTTGTCGACGCCGTTTGATACTAATTTTGTTCCTCGACCCCCTGCCGTTCGGTCGGCCGCTTATGCCTGTGCAGTTCTCCGCACCGCCTTCACTGGTTTGTTGCCTCTTCCGTCTTACCCGGAGTCGACTATGTCTTCTCAAGCCCATATGGCGCAGTATGCCCCTTCTGTCACTCCCTGGCATCCGGACACTGGTGCTACCGATCATGTCACGCCAGATGTGTCCTCTCTTAGTATCTCCAATGATTATACTGGTACGGATCATATTTTAGTTGGTAATGGAGATGCTTTACCCATTCAGCATGTTGGTCAATCTGTTTTGCCATCGTTTTCTCGTCCTTTTTATTTAAATCGTGTCTTGCATGCTCCTTCTCTTACTAAGCCTCTGTTATCTGTTCAAAAGTTTACCCGTGATAATCACTGTTTTTTTTGAATTTTATTCTGACTCTTGTTGTGTTAAGGATCTTTCAACCAAGGAACTCCTCCTCCGCGGTCGGGCTGATAATGGTCTCTATCGCTTAGATCTTCCTGCTCGTGGTTCCTTGTCTCCAGCAGCTTATCTTGTCTCTTTAGGTTAGTGGCATGCTCGTTTAGGGCACCCTAATAATGTCACTCTTCGTACTTTGGTTAGGCAGTTTCAACTTCCTTATTCCTCTGTGTCCACGTCCATTGATAAATGTGAGGCGTGTTGTTTAGGGAAGTTACATAGGGTCAGTTTACCTTCTACTTTTCATCGTAGCTCTAAACCTCTTGATTTAATTCACACTGATGTTTGGGGTCCTGCTCCTATTTTGTCATTCAATGGTTATCGCTACTTTGTGTTTTTTATTGATGACTTCTCTCTATTCACATGGATTTATCCAATTAAGTATAAAAGTGATGTTGTCCATGTTTTCAAGCAATTCAAAGCTCTCGTAGAAAACCAATTTGGCACCACCATTAAAAGTGTTAACTCTGATTGGGGTGGTGAATTTCGTTCTCTCAATTATTTCTTTAAGGATGTCGGTATTGTTCATCGTTTAGCGTGTCCACACACTCATGAGCAGAATGGCACTGCTGAACGCAAAATTCGTCACATTGTCGACATTGGACTTGCTCTCCGAGTTAGGCGTTTCTTTAAATCGCCCTCCCGCTATTTGGTGTGACAACAGTAGTGTAGTTTTCCTTGCTGTCAATCCTGTGTTCCATGCTCGTACAAGACATGTTGAGGTTGATTTTCACTTTGTTCGAGATCATGTTCGGCGTAAGTTTGTTTCGGTCAATTCTATCTCTGCTGCTGATCAGCTTGCTGATATTCTGACAAAACCCTTGTCCAAAGAGTTATTCTTTCGATTTCGGGACAAACTTCGGCTTCTCTCTCCGCCGTAAGTTTGCGGGGGCGTATTGTAATATTTAGTATATTTCCTATTATGTTCTAGTTTAGGGTTTGTTATTGTTTATATATAATCTGTATATATGCACAACATATCATGAATCTAATACAATTCCCTATTCTAAGTATGATAATAATCACCATCATAATAAATTTGAATTACCTTTAAATTTTAAATTATTTAATTCATCTTTCATATTATATCCGCATTATTTCTTTAAAGTTACATGGATTGTTATTTAATTTTGCTAAATATTGGTGGAGGCAAATACAAATACAACAAATAGATGGGGGATAAAAAAAAACAACTAGACACGTGCAGCGCATGCGGCGGCACCAACCTCCCAAACTCTGGCTGACAGCATTCCACGTGTCAGTCAATCAATACCAGTTTCAGGTACAAAATCCCTCAACTCACTCACTCCACTCTCTCTCTCTCTCTCTCTTACTTTCCTTTTTTCCTCAGACCAAAGAAAAGAACGACATTGCCGGCACCGGCCGCCGGTCCAGCCGTCGATCTCATGCCACTTGTCTGTATTCCGGCAAAAACATGGTCAACGTGTTAAAAAAAGTATGGGAAACCGTTTCCGTCTGGTCTTCCCCGGCTACTCCCAGAGATGGTTCTGTTTCGAACCAGCTTCCCGATCGTGTGCAGCAGCAAATCAGTTACTACTTGCAGAATTCCTCGACCGGGGAGTTTGATCGGATTCCGCTGGATATTTTCTTCCAGATACTCAAATTACTGGGACCAAATGAAGCTGCCAAGCTCAGCACCGTCTGTAAAGCGTGGAAATTCGTCGTGGCGGATAATCGGCTATGGATTTATTTCCTTCAGAATCACCAGAAGGAGCCGTGGGATTCTATTTTCTTTGCAGAAACTTGCCTCCGATCAGGATACCCTCTTCGGTATGATTTTTTATTTTCATTCACTTATTTTTTTTTCTTTGAAACATGAATAATAAAGCAAACTATTCGGGGGGGGGGGGGAAATGAAATGAAAATTTCCAATCTTTTGAGATGAAGTTTACGAATTTTAATTTAAGGCGAAGTAGCACACGTTAATTAGCTTGCAAACCTTGGCATTCATGTTAATTTCTATACCATAGAGCTCTATTCTCTTTGGAACTGAAGATTTGAAGCTGCTAGGAAATTTAGCCCCCGCTTTCCTTTCCCCGGTACTACATTAACTATTGTTAATCGAATATCATGAAGGAAATTTGGTCCCCTGATGGTTCTCTGTTGTAATTTGTCAAAAAATGATGAGTATACACCCTTAAAGAGAATGTGGATCTTATTTCAGAATATGATGGGGATATGCCTAGATTATTATATCTTGTAAAAAATTGTTAAGGATAGACAAATATGATTTCGTGAAGTCATACCAAGCAGACTATTTTTGGCTTTTGATTGCAGAACATTCCCTGCACAAATGCCTGATCTGTCATTCATGCAAATTTATGCTCAACGCGCCCAAGTGCCCGGTGCTATTATCGTTGATGGTATGCAATTTGCTAGAATGAAAATGGTTTTGCTTGTTTGAGATGTCATGTTTGCTTCTGTCTTATAATTTCCGAAATTGTAAATGAAGGTGGCTCGGGCTATTGCAAGTTTGGATATAGCAAGTATAGTGCGCCTTCTGGGAAGTCTGCTACTTTCCTGGTGACTTTTGTTATTTAAGCTGCTATTGTTGTCATCGTTTTGCATTTATTTCGGTCAGTGGTGAACGTTTCTGGCTTTCTGTTCATGCAGGAATTTGGTAATATTGAGTCCCCAATGTATTCTAGACTGAGACATTTCTTTTCTACTATTTTTAGTAGGTTGGTAATTTTAATTTTTATTCTCCTTCTGAACATACACTTTTTTCTTCCAATTGTTTCTCTCATAGCTTCCTTTCCGATGCTTTCTGGTAATTTACCTTTCAAATTCTAATTTGTTATTTCCTTTGAAAATTTTGATGCTCTTCAGGATGCAGGTGAAAGCATATACCCAGCCTATTGTTGTGTCTGTTCCAATCTGCCATAATGATGGTTAGCTTCTGATATCTTTCATCTTTCTTATCTTCATGATCAAAACTTACGTTGGCAAAAAGATTTGAAAGGTTTGCGTTGCATGAAGAATAAGGATTCAGTACTCTGAACTCAGGAGCTCACCGATTGGCATTGATTGTTTTTAATGACAATAAAGTCCAATATGTGTATTTCGTTTCATTACTTTTATGGATTGTGCATTTTTCTTGATAATAGTTGTCACTTGTTACATTTCAGATACTGAATCGGATAGAGCAGCTAGAACACAGCTAGTAGAATCTATCTACTCTGCGCTGTTTGACATGCAAGTTCCTGCTGTTTGTGCGATTAATCAGGTAGATACCCTTTAAGAATAAAACTGTTGTTTTGATCTACTTTTTAGAATGTGATAACTTTTTGTCCCTTCCTGTCAAAGTGATTGTTGATATTCAATTTGTTTGTCTCAGCGACTACATTCTACAGTATTCAAAGTAAAATGTCTGTTGGGATTAATGAAAAAGAATTAAAGAAATGTCTGCTTGTAGGAATGCTGCGAGGCTATTGTCTATGACTATATATTTTGAACAAATACCATGATTCATTTGCTAACTTTATGTATTGTCTTAATAGCTTCTCATCATTGCAAAAGTATTTGTTTACTTTATATCGCGCGGGTTTCCTTTTATCTTTGGCTCTGTAATACTTTCTTTTAATGTAACCGTAGGCGGTTTTAGCATTATTTGCTGCTAGGCGAACATCTGGAATCGTTGTCAACATCGGTTTCAACCAAACATCTGTTGTTCCGAGTGAGCTACTCTTTAAGCCAGACTTGAATTGGAATTTGTTATCTGCAGAATTTTGTGTTTTATAACCTAAAGGAATTTTTTGAGCTGTGTGATTGTGATTTTGCCTGGTTTAAGTATGTCCTGATCGGCATTAGACTAACTTACTTTTTGTTTTGTCCAGTTTTACATGGAAAAGTAATGCACAAAGTGGGTGTCGAGGTTATTGGACTTGGAGCTTTAAAACTTACGGGATTCCTTCGTGAAAAGATGCAGCAGAGGAATTTAAACTTTGATTCCCTCTATACTGTGCGTTCTTTGAAAGAGGTACTCGTACTGCCCTTTTATGTTATTCTCTTGTTAATTCTGTGCAACAATAGATACTCATTTGGAAAAATTGTTTCTGTGCTGCTTCACCATTTGACTCTAATATGAGTCACCACCTGTTTCTGGAGATTTCCGTCTTTGGAAAAACCATGCTTATCTTATGCATATAATTCATTCTCTTTGAATTAGCTGATTGTGTCTCTTGAGATCCAGTTTTCTTGGGTTCATCTTGTGTTTTTCTTCATTGAGTTAACTCGTAGCTTTTGTTTGCCTGATTATGGTTTATAATCTGTCTGTTATTGTGCGGGTTATTCACCTGAGGGAAGTCATAAAGTTGCTGATCCATGGAAGAATGAGCATGCAGTTTCTTCTATGTGATTTCATCCTTTAGCCAGGTGTTCTGATATGAACAGTGTTTCAATATAATAAAAAAAATTTGTATTGCAGAGCACTAGGTTATTAGAGCGGGCCTTGTCAGGATAATGTGCTCTGGGTGATAATAATCTGTGGTTTATGTTATTGTGTTACAGAACCTCTGTTATGTCGCCCTTGATTATGATGCCGAGCTTCTTAAAGACACTGAAGCATCTTATCAAGTTGCAGCTGAAGGATGGTTTACTCTTTCAAAAGAGCGGTTTCAAACAGGAGAAGTTTTGTTCCAGCCTCGTCTGGCAGGAGTGTATGTCTTATTCTCGTTATTATTAGTCCCTGTAGATGATTATCATATTTGTGTTGTGGTATTATGTCACGTCTCAGAACTTCCATCATGTGGCTCTTGCATTTTAAAATAGGCATCCCAATGAGCCTTGGAATACTTAAATTTGAAGACTAGGCTATAGCTTTGGGGCTGAATTTGTATTGGATTTGATGTTTTCCGTCTTCCCTGACACTCGTAATTTACTTTTCTCTGGTAGTGAATTCTCATTTTTGGGTAAGAGATAATTTATTGTATCGAGGAGATATCATTTGTATGCTGACGAGGGATTATGTCGACTGGGAATTCTATAATTCATTGCATGCAGACACAAAATCTTCTATTATGATCGATAATCTATCTATTCAAAGATAAGAAAAACTCCAAAAGAGGCTTCCATTTCCCCGGTTTAAAATTTAAAAAGTCACGAACTCCAGCTCATAGGAGATTTTCTTTTCGGGGGTTTGGATGTCATAAGAGGAAAAGGTGATTGATTTTGTCTTTCTGGGAATCAAGAGAAACTTTTTCTTCCGTTACTCTTGCTTTTCTGCCTTTCTTTTGCTTGTGTCTAGTTTCTCTTTCCTTATTAAGGCGCAGTTAAGACATAGTTCATGCACATGCAGGAGGACGATGAGTTTGCAGGGGGCCGTGGCGCTTTGCATGGAACACTGCCACGATGCAGAGTTAACTGGGGATGACAGTTGGTTCAAAACTGTTGTTCTGGCGGGGGGTTCTGCTTGCTTGCCAGGATTAGCAGGTAATAAAGAAAGACATTGAACAGATTTATTTCATCAGCTCTTGAGATCATTTCATACACGAGAAGGTCCCATTGTGGTCTACTTTTTTGTCTGATCAGGGTTCAAGTTCTTCATCTAATATAATCTATTTTGTCTATACAGAGAGATTAGACAAGGAAATTTGCAAATTGCTTCCTCAATTCATGTCAAGTGGAATCAAAGTTATCCCTCCTCCTTATGGTGCTGATACTGCATGGTATGGGGCAAAGCTCATCAGCAATGTAAGCTACTTTCCCATATCTCTTAATTGCTAATGTTATAGATGTAATTACTTTTGGTAAAAAAATGATTTTGCCCCTCATTTTTGGGATTAGTAGCAATTTCTTACCCTAATCTTTTTGTTATCTTGTCGTTGACATCTTGCTGATTTTCTGTTACCTCATAGCAGTCAAAAGCAGTGATGTATTAGTCTAATTGAACTGCTTTGATCCTTGTTATCTAAATCTCCATGTTGTGGTATTACTGTTGTACTGCAGATGAGCACTTTTCCGGGTTCGTGGTGTGTGACTAAGAAGCAGTTCCGCCAGAAGTCGAAGCGCCGATGGTGAAGTTCAAGTTAAACATCATTCGTATTTGAGGTTCCTATAACTGAAGTAACCTCTGAGTTTATGCTAATATAAAGCTAGCTAGGTTTTCAGAAATGGCCAGTCAGCAGTCAGAATATGTATCTAGAATCTAGGTTTAAGATAGTTCCCCGCTATACATCGTTCTTTGACATACCTACAAACTGCATCAAACTGCATTTATATAAAAGTTGTACAAATATATATGAACGGACAGATTCAGCCTCCACGTGTTGTAAAAGCAGGGAGTTTCTTCTCAAGATCATCCCAACTCAAAGTTGTATGTACTAGATCTACATTGTACAAGCTTGAATTGTTGCTTCAATAAAAGAAGACTGGAAACTTGTTTTTTAGATGGCATTTGTGATGTTTTTTTGGAATTGGCATTTGTGATGTAGTTTTTATATTGCAGTTACGGTTTTCATAATGGCAGTTACTAAATCTGGAAAACCCAGTATGGAGGTCAACTTCAACTGATCTGCTTATTGAATCATTTACAGTTCTAGAACAGAGTATCATCTAGGGTATCCATCACTTTAAGCAATTCTACATCTGTTTAATCTTTGCATTCAGTCCAATGTCATGAAGTATCAGCAGACTTCATGTGCCTGATATTTCCTACAATGAACTCGGCACCATCCACTTCAACTATGCTCGATCCACTTGCAATGTCCAGTTTTTCCTCGTTTGCTAATCGTCAAATCTGATTAACATTCTCTTCCATTCCCATTGCAGCAAAAAACTTGATGACTTGCTTGTACCGGTCTGCAGACAAAGGACCTAAACTGATCAGCTCATTCACTGCAAGTGCCCCTCTTCTCATGTCTTTATGGAGAATACACCCACTAAGCAGTGCACCCCATATGACAGAGTTCGGCTTTAAAGTCATGCGAGAAATGAAGTCTTCAGCTTCAGCCAGCCTCCCGGCACGACCTAGGAGATCAACCATGCAACCATAGTGTTCAATTGACGGACTAATGTTAAACTTATGCACCATCTGATCAAAAAAGTGGAACCCTAGCTCGACAAGCCCGGCGTGGGAGCAAGCAGACAGGATCGCTACAAAGATGACCTTGTTCGGCATAATCCCGCTTCCTATCATATCATCGAACAGTTGAATACATTTCTCAGCATCACCATGAATGGAGAATGCTGAGATGATTGCTCTCCATGTCACAACATCTTTTTTACCCGCCAAGTTCTTGTATACTTCATAGCTACAGTCTATGCAACCACATTTTGCATACATATCAATCAGGGCAGTGCCAAGATTTGCCCTAATTTCAATCCCACGTCTCTGGATATACCTGTTTGTGAATTGTTCGAATTAGTACTGTCGAATGTACGCTACATGTGATCTATTGAACACAAGAAAACACTTTCAAAGAATGTGTATGTATATTCTCAAAATTGCACAAACTTAACCTGTGTATCCATCTTCCTTGATCCAATGTTCCCAAACTGCCACAAGCAGACAATGCACCAACAAGTGTCGATTCAGTCGACTGAACTCCATCCGCCAACATTTCCTGAAACAAACGCAAAGCCTCACCATGCATATCACAACTGTTATACCCTGTGATCATTGCACTCCAAGTTGCAGTGTCCTTCTTCGCCATCTTCTCGAATAAAGTCTGAGCATTTTCAACCTTGCCCTGGCGAAAGCATCCTGTAATCAAACAGTTCATGGCAAGAACGTTTTCCTCATCATTATCACCATCAGCTAAAAGAGCCAGATTGGCTGATTCCATATCACCACAAATCGAGTACATATAAACCAGTGAATTTCGACCATGAACACTCAGTTCTATTCCAGCTTTCATCATCTGTCCATGTATCTGTTTCCCTTCCAAATAGGCATTCATGCGGGAACAAGTCTTAAGCGCGAAAGTAAACGTGTGATTATCGGGTTTAAGCCCAGCAGACAACAGTTTTTGATACATCAAAAGGGACAGATGATCAGGGTACTCAGGGCTAAGCATTAGGCCTCTGATCATGTTGTTGTAGGCGAATAAATCAGGGTTTGGAATCGACTCGAAAACCGACAGCGCATAAGAAAAGCGAGATGACGAAATGTAAGATTCAATCAGTCTTCCAGGATTCAAGGGATGGTGAATTAGGCCAGAAACTATGAGCTGGGCATGGACTTGTTCAACTTCATGAGGAAAATGACATAGTTGAAGCAATGATATTGTGGTATTCGGGATTTTGATTGTGTTTCTGGGTTCAACCAATCTTATGTTTATAGCACTAGTTGAAGTTGCCATACTCACAAAAGATGGTTCATTCAGGAAACAGAAACATTGTGGGGATTGAAGAGTTTGCACCGGATGATATGAATGATAGTAAAATGAAAGCATTGGTCACAGAAACCTTATCCAAAGAAATGTCATCATATTGATTAGCAATCAAAGGGCATAAAATGGTAGATTTGCATTTGCAGTTTTGTCCAGTTACCAACTCTAGTGTTCGGTATTTGCCTCTGAATCTCTGATTTAGGAGTAATTCTTTTGCGATTAGTCTAAAGAAAATGTCAATACAATTACCCGTAATCATAATTGTCTAGAATTGAGTAGTATATTGTTTCAATGGAAAAATTGGCGGATCTACCCAAAACTTTACATGCTTCATCAATTCTATCCTATTCTTTTTCGGTTAGCTAATATTACTCTAAACTATCCAACCGTTAGCCGATTTTGTCCAATTTGCTATTTTCCGTCTAAAATAATGGAATTTTATTTGTTTTAATTATAAAAATACCCTAATAGTTTTAAAAATTTATAAAAATGACCCCAAAAATTTACAAAAAATTGTAAAATAGTCTATTTTCAGTTTTTATTTAAAATTTTTAGTTTTTTATTTCTTTTTACTATTTTTCATAACTATAAAAATATACTATATAATCTTTTTAAAAAAATATTTATTTTTAAACTTTAATGTACAAATTTTTAATTACATATTTGTATGTCATGTTTGATTTACATAAGCATATTAATTTTTTAATAATATAGTTTTACAATAATGATACTATTTTTTAATCCATTTTTTTCAATCTAAAAAATAAGATTATTTAATTAATACGAATTTTTCACCAAAAAATTAAACAATTCGCATAGATTAAAAAAGAATCTATTGGTATACTTTAATGTATTATAATTTAATTCAACTGACTTTAGATTGTATTTTAAAAATTAAGAAGAACTCAAAACTAAAATATAAATTTTATTTAAAAGGTCAAGTACAGACAGAAAGTAAAAAAAAAAAACACCTATTTCGTTTCTACGTTGGCCCAACACAAGAATATAGTGTCGTGGCATTTACAAAAATGTTACAAAATATTTTATAAAAATATATATATATATATTTATTACTGCGAGAGTTTAACATTTTGTGATAATATTTTGAGAATTAATATATCTAACTTTAGCAGGAACTCTTTTTTTTTAAAAAAAAATAATTAAAAAATCTACTACAATACTGGATTCCACCTTTTTTTTACATTAAAAAACAAATAGATTTCTCCAGTGAGAATCGAACCTCGAACACAGTTTTAATCATCTCATATCTTAAATCACCTAACCATCCAATGCAACCCTCTTACCTTTAGTGGACCCCGCTTAAACGTGGGTAAAATCACTCTCCCGGTTAAAAATACTTTGCTGACAATTAATCTTATATCTACTCTCATGAAACTTAACACCCTAAACACTAGACAATACCCTATATTTTAATTTAATAATTTTTTAATTGAATAATACAATCTATAGTTTATTTAGTTAATTTGCAATAAATTAAAATGTACTAATATATATATATTTTTAATCTATGCTAAATGTTTTTATTTTTTGTAAAAAATTAGTTTTAGTAAAAAAAAATCTTATTCTTTAAATTGAAAAAGACGGATTAAAAGAATAATATCATTATTATCTAGCCATATTATTAAAAAAATTAATATGTTTATGTAAATCAATCATGAGTTACAAAATGTATATCTATAAATTTGTACTGTAGTGTTTAAAAATAAATTATTTATTTAAAAGATCATATAGTATATTTTTATGGTTATGAAAAATATTAAAAAGAAATAAATAAAAAGAAAAATTTAAATAAAAACTGAAAAGTCCCTATTTTGTAATTTTTGTAAATTTTTAGGGTTCTTTTTATAAAATTTTAAAACTATTAGGGTATTTGTATAATTAAAACAAATAGAATTCTGTTAATTTAGACGAAAGATAGCAAATTGGACAAAATTGACTAACGGTTGAATAGTTTAAGGTAATATTGACTAACCAAAAAAGAATGAGATAGAATTGACGATGCATATAAAGATTTGGGTAGATCCGCCAATTTTTCCTTGTTTCAGTCATTCATCATGTTTATTTTATTATTTATCCTTTCCTTCATGTCACCATCGCCCCGTCCACCGCCTTGATCATTACTATCTTTTCTAGTTTCACAATATACATAACTTTTGTTAAAAACAAAAAAAATAAAAATAAAAATGCACAAGTTCAATTCTCATTAATTTTCAATGTGTAGTGAATAAACCCATCCAATAGAGAAAGAAAAAAAACCCCATTAATTGTCAGAAATGATGAACTACCTAAGCTCTGCTTTTTTTTAAAAAAAAAAAACTTATTTTCCTAATAGAGTATATATTTTTTTAGAATAATAATATAGATATAGTAGCTATCAGAGGTTGAAATGGAAACAAAGAAGAAAACGGAGAAACGCGGTTGTGGGCTGTTTAGAACACTACTGGCTCTGGCTGGACAATTCCAATTTGTCTCTTCTCTTTCTTCCTCTCTCTCTTTCCCTAATTCTTTCTTTTTCTAACATTAACAAAGCAGAAACACGTCTTATGGTATTTATCAACTTAGCATTAGACTGTTTCTCCCATTTATTAATCTAAGAGCAAACCTTCCTTTTTAACTTAGCTTTTATTAGTTGCATTTATTGGCCAAATTCAGCAAACCAGCTTGTGGGTTGTGTTCAAAATTTGGGTACAAGTAGGTTTGGACTTGATCTCGAAACTGCTGTGAAGATTGAACTTTTAATTCTTTATTGGGTTTCCCGACATTCCATTTGAGTTGTAAAGATTGGATTTTTATCCAAAAATTTGGGTTGTTTAGATCAGGAAATTTGTGTTTGGGATAAGCAAAATGATGGGTTGGATTCAGCGTCATCGGCTCTGTTGTGTGATTTGGATGTGTTTCAGTGTTTTAACCAGCATCGCAGCTTCATCTTACATTTCAGGTGTGTGAAAAATTTCTTTAAATTTTGATGGTTTTGTTTCTGTTTCTCCTGCTTTGCTGTTTAACCTAAGAAAATATTTTGGTTTCCAGATGGCGTTTTCCTGGATCAAATTTCAACTGGCAGAAACCTTCTCCAGCAAAAATCAGGTGCACCCATTATCTTTATGTTTTCCCTTTAGTTGGATCAGGTGCATTTAGTTTATTTTTGTTTGAATGTTGGAATTCTGTTGAAGCTTCGGCACAAGTCAACTGGTCTACCCTGCGAAATCATGAAGATGTTTGAATCTTTTTTCTAGCTTATATGTTTGTAAACCTACCCGGGGCGGCGGGGAAGGTGATTTAACGGAAGACCTCAAATGTGATTTGTCTAGTTTTATGATTGTTGATTTTAGCTGAGCCTTGGGAATTCCTTGCGAAAAGCTAGTTTAAAGGGCTCTTTTGTGTTTCCTTTTTTCCAGCATTTTGTTGATGGTAACAAGACCTCTTTTGGGTTGTTGTGTTGTGTGCATTGTGTTAGGCCCTTCCTCTCTGATTTGTATTCTTGACATTCTAAACTTGACATCAGAGCATTGTCAGAATAAAAGGTAATGGAGATTAGAGACTCAAAGTTTCTGACTGAGTTTAAGAGCGATGGCTGATGGAGTTTCTGTTTTGAACTATTTTGGTTGCAGTTTTTCTAGGGTTTTGTTCTTTATATGATGTGGTAAATGGAGGTTCAGAGCCATTGCTTAACTTACCTACAGTTACCTTCTGCAATTTTTTTTAATCAGAATACTGAATTTTTTCTGATGTTAACTGTTCTGTTCAGCATTTGCACAACCTCGTGAATTATCTAGTTTACAGTATGGATGTTGATCCTACGTCGAAGGAATTTTGGAAAATAGTTCAGAACTGTCCTGTTCCTTGATGGTGTTTGAGATGAAAAGCAGAGTAGCAATTGACCTAAAGCAGATTTGGGGATAGAATTTATCCCAAATTGTCGGCCCTTAATAAGATTTGTCACAAGAGCTATATGTCTGATCATTTCCGCAAGCATATTCTAACTCATTTTCAAATTCCAAGCATTTTACAACCATTAGCCGTTTCTGCTTTGCAATATATCTAATACATGAAGAAACATGCATGTGTATTGATAAGCTTGTTTTGTCTCATTTGTTCTGCAGGCTGCCCTATTAGCTTTGAGTTCCAGAATTACACTATCATCACCAGTAAATGCAAAGGTCCACAATACCCTCCTGACCTTTGTTGCCAGGCGTTCAAGGATTTCGCCTGTCCTTTTGCAGATCAAATTAATGATTTATCAAATGACTGTGCCACGACCATGTTCAGCTACATCAATCTTTATGGGAAGTATCCTCCTGGTCTTTTTGCAAGTGAGTGCAGGGAAGGCAAGAATGGCCTTGAGTGCCCAGCACTACCACCAGAATCAGCCAACGACAGTGGGAGTCTGTTAACACGCAACCCATCAACACCCCTAATGCTTGCAACAAGTTTTGTAGTTCTGCTGCTAACGCGGCTCATCTAGAAATGATTTGCCATCCGGGCTCTGCATTCCTTGACCATTTTTTTGATGATTGTTGGTGATTTCTCACGATATTGTCCTAGCCTGGTGTATTTCACACTGCGATAGTGTTCATATAATTTATTTCTGCTGCCTTCTTTTCTGCTAATACAAGTAACATCTCCATGTATTAAACTTCATTCTTGCGAGTTCAATGAAATTGCTATTTTACCCTCGTGAATATTTTCGTAGAGGGCAAATGCACTTTCTATACTATTAGCCTCAGGTAATTTTTCCGCAGTCGTTGGTTGTTGTGAGGATATTTGTTCTGCTGATGGGAAAGATAAACTGCAAATCTGGAATCATACTGAATATTATTGCAGAATATGCTAGCTTGGAAAGTCACTGACTTTTTCCCATTTCTTCTGATACTAACTAACGTGGAGGCCTCCTCTATTATTTATTTATTTATTTTTATTTTTTTTCACAGGCATAGTCATTACTATCTTTTGTTTTTTTTTTTAAGGGTTGGACTACAAAGTTTAGGTTGAGCTATTACAATCACATTATACCTAATCACATATAAAGAAATAATTCAATCATGTGTATAGAGTTAGATTAAACTAATTTGACTAAACTATAGCAATATCACTAAACTGTAGTAGAATATTTGAGATTTAGAAAGTTGGTCAGAAATATTTTTATTATTTGTTTAATTTATTTTTTTTTTTTTAAATATTTTGATCAAGGTCTTGTAGGACCCACAATTCATTAAGTAATCAATAAAAAATAAAAACTTTTAGGAAAATTGAATTGGACCATTAAATTTTTGAAAATTCTGTTAAAGTGACTAAAATTGTTGGAAAAAAAAAGATATTTAAGACTGATTTTGTTGTTTGAAAATATATTGCGGGTCTCAATTTAGTAAAAATTAATAAAAAATAAAAAAAACTTAATGGAAAAAAGAATTAACCGTTGGTTAACCGTTAAATTTATGAAGACCCGTCTCACCACCTTTGTGCTTAAGCTGTAGAGGGCGAGATCGAACGCCTACATGACACGCACTATCCCCATTTACATAGTTCTAAGAATTTACAAAATTTAAAAATAATTCTCTCAGACTACGAACAAACTTTACATAAGTTATCACGGTCTATTATAATTCATACACTTTTAGATCGAATCATAGAAAACCACAAAACCAAACCACTCTCCAAGCTTCTAGCTTCTGGTTGTTATTGGAATCTGAAGAAAAAAAAATGTATGCGATTGGGGTGAAATGCACGGTCAGTGAGGTCTCACTGCTTACCGAGTTGTTAACTAGGTGAGCAAACAAACAAGTAATGTTCCAAACAAAACAAGTAATTAGGGAAGGCTGTCCATTTTAATCATTCCTAAACATCCAATCTAGATGACATGCAAATGGGTCAAACAGATACATTAGCCCCGACAAACGATAAACATGCTTAGGATGCTCGTACGAAAAGTGTCGAGAATGAGCAATCAAGAGCATCTAACAGTTTCTAAATCACAACCACATACAACAAATTTATTACCAAGTGCGCCGTGCGCGAAACAAAACAAGTAACAATAGGTGTTAGGATACAAGGGAGTTATGTAAGAAGCCAGTCCATGCCTATGTGGCATTTGGAAAGGTTTTCTTAATATACTCCAATTTCATTTTACGAGAACAAGTTTCAGAACCACTCGGAAAAATATATCAATACTTTCAATAAACATTTTCAACAGTTCATTCGTCAGTCACGCCCAAACAGTTAAACAGTAGGGCGATGTACCTCCTCAGGCATATCTACAAATCCCCATAGTTCCTTTGGCCGACGATCGAGCCCGTTGCTGACCCGCCAGTTTTGATTCCCTATAGCGGTGGATCCGGCCTTACAATCGAACAAGAACATACACAAGTATTCCAAAACGATAAAGTACGCTTTGGTGCAAGTAACGAGCATTCAAGCTCAATCATTAACATTCAATCAAAACAATTTACCAAGACCACTAAATCAAACTGTACTACAGACACTAGGTCAAACAAATTATTTTAATTTAAGCAATTTGACGTTCATTCAAGTTTAGGACGTAACATACTCACGTTCAGAAAAGCTAGTTGTGAAGACATTCCTTTACTGGAGTTGCCGAGACAAAACATATCAAGTCAATCTTCTCACATAAAGCAAAAAACATTAACCAGGTAATAGGACAAAAAGTCAATCGAATCACGTATCGAGCAAGTCAATCAAGTCACATAACCAAGCAAGTCAATAACCGGAGTGATAAAGTACAAGCTCGAGACGTTACACTTCAATATAGCATTTCTAGATGCAAATCAAATCCTAAATTTTACAAGCTTGAGACGTTACACGTCAATATAGCATCCAAGTCTCACCATCATTTACTCTATATTAAATTTCATGGAGGGATTAATTTGCAGTGAGATTACTCACCTGGATAGCATTCAACAGACGTAAGATCATTCGGAAAGTGTGTTATTCAAATAAGCAATGATAACATTACTACACCATATTATAAGAAACCATCGACTGAGTTTACTCAGTTTCTAAACTTCCCTACCATGCAAGTCCAAGACGTTTAAAAAGAAAGAGACTAGTCTGTAGATATAAATGTCAAGAAACAGGATTTCGTAATCATTAAGTTCCGATTGCAAATTTCTAATAATTGAGATGTCGTTTTTTTGTAATCCAAAAGAGTCAGTGTATACTTGGATGGCCTAAGAACCATAGGGATGAAATTCATGTATTTCGTCAAGGAAAACAAAGCCTCAAAGTCAGCTTTCAAAAGTTCTGAAAATTCAGCAAGGTAGGGTAACGGGATCATATTCAAAGCACGTTTTCCATCAAACCAAAAGTCCCATTTGCAAGCCCCGTCAAAACCAATGTAAAGTAGGACAAAGAAAGAAGACATTTATGAAAGACCTCAGAAAAAGGAGGTGAACAAATAGGAGAAAACAGATCAAGAAAAGAGCACTTTCAGGTCTAAATTTTCAGAAAATACAGAACAGGTTGATCACTTTTCAAATCCAATTTTCGGACAAACCATACCTCCATTTTGCAACCCTTAAAAACCAAAATAAACCTACATGAAACGCTACGAGAGATTTGTCAAAAGAAATCTCATAAAACAGTTCAAGAGATATGAGAAACAAGTCTCCGAAAACAGCCGCGCAAACCAGAATCATATTGACTAAAGTGTCATTTTCAAATCGAGTTTCTGGACAAACCACAAGTCCGTTTTGAAATCCGTAAAACCTTGATTGAACTACACTGAACGAAGAAGAGTTTCACCTAAAGAAATCCTGAAAAAAGAGTTCGAGACCTAGGAGAAAAGTCCCTATCTACAGAGGTCTGAAATCTTGAATTACGAATTTCAGGAATCGTCAGTCAAACGAAAAAGAAAGCTTTGAACTGAGGTTTTACATCAATTGTATGTCCTTTCAATATCCATAAGGTTCCATGTACAGATTACAAAAACAAAGAAAAGGCTTACGAACCGAAATCAATCAAGCAAACAGAGGCTAAAATGACGATAAACCAGCACTCCAATCTGAATCTCTATGTTTCCATTTGTTTCAAACTTAAAATTCCATAGCGCTTGATTAATTCTATGCTACTGTAAGGTTTCCAAAGCATCAATGAATAAATACCCTTGTTCTGTTTAGAACTCCTAATCATCAATCTTAACATCCAATCCAATAATTCAAACAAATGTTTATCAATACAACTTGTGTTCTGCAATTTACATGATTAAATTCATCCTTGAAACCAAATGTAAAGCTTTTAAGAACTGAAAAGTTAAAACTGATTGCCTCTCATCTTCTAAACCTTTTCTTCCTTTTGTTCCTGGTGAATTTTACGGTTGAGATTTTAGAAATGGAGAAGGATTTGAAGCAAAGGGAAAAAATTGAAATGGAGGTTAGTGATGGACTGGTGACGATGGCCGGCGGTGGATGAAGGAGTTTGGAAATGGAGTTTGGTGTTGTTCAGGAGAAAACGAGGAGAGCTTTGTTTTTGGTACGAATTTGAACATGGGGGAATGGTAGTTAAGCTGATGGGGGCTATTATTAAGAATTGTTTAGCAAAAATAGTTGGTTTATGCATGGTTTCTAATTGGCTAAGAAGGGTGGGTCAGGTTGCAATGGGAAAAATTGAGTGAGGTGTGTGTGTCAGTGTGTGTGTTGTATGAAGCGTGGAAAATCGGAAAATTATACGCTGGCTGCACTTAATGACGCGTGATATTCACGCGCTATGACGCGACGCGAAGCTTGCATCTGCTCACTCTAAGCGCAGAATTTTGTTTTTTTTTTTAAATTAAGTTTTTGGATTTTAAAAATTTCTTAAATTTTCAAATCACTTTATTTCTTAATCTGTAAATAATTAGACCAAGTGTCTTATATCATTTTGATAGTACTCGACGAGATTTATCCAACAAGAAACCTCATGAATATGTTTTTCGAAACTTAAAAAAATTTATGCAGCAGTCTTGGTCTTACTAAAAGACATTATGGTCTTATTGTGTCTTTCAGGACCAAGACCTGTAAAAAAGACCAAAGGCCAAAGGCCAAACACCAAAATTGAATACCAAAGAGCAAAGATCAAAGATCAGAGTAAAGAGCGAGCGTGTGTGAGTAACAACGACAAAAGACCAAAGACCAAGAAACAGAAGACCAAATAGCAAAAACCGAAGACCAAAGACCAGAGTGAAAGAGCGCGTGTTGTGTAAGGAACAAAGGCCAAAGACCAAAAACCAAAGATCAAATACCAAAGACCAAAGACCGAAGGCCAACGACCAAAGACCAAAGACCAAAGACCAAAGCCAAAACACCGAAGACCAACCACCAAAGACCAAAAGCCAACGACCAGAGACCAAAGACCAAAGTTAATTGGTTCAAAAAAATTTATAAGGTTAATCGTATTACGGCACAAACTAAGTCCTAACCGACACGGAAATACTTAAATCCCCCTAAACCCTAAACCCCAAACAACTAGACGCTAACCGACAAGGAAATGGTCAAACCCACCTAAACCCTAAACACACTAATTTTTTTTTTTTGTTTAAATTTTTTTAAACCAATTAGGCAAGGGTCTCATAAAAAAATTTATAAGGTTAATCATATTACGGCACAAATTAGGCCCTAACCAACACGGAAATACTTAAACCCCCATAAATACTAAACCCTAAACAACTAGACCCTAACCGGTACGGAAATGCTTAAACCCCCTAAACCCTAAACATACTATTTTTTCTTGGTTTAAATTTTTTACACCAATTAGGTTAAACGAGACCCTAATTGGTTTAAAAAAATTTATAAGGTTAATCGTGTTATGGTACAAACTAGGCCCTAAGCGACACGGAAATGCTTAAACCCCCTAAACCACTAGACCCTAACCGACACAGAAATGGTCAAACCCCCCTAAACCCTAAACATACTAATTTTTTTTTCTTGGTTTAAAAAAATTTATAAGGTTAATTGTGTTACGACACAAACTAGGCCCTAACCGACACGGAAATGCTTAAACCCCCCTAAACCCTAAAATTCTAAACAACTAGACCCTAAACGACACGGAAATGGTCAAACCCCTCTAAACCCATACTAATTTTTTTAAGCATTTTCATATCGGTTAAGAGCAGTTTGTGCCATAACACAATTAACCTTATAAATTTTTTTAAACCAATTAGGCTAGGGTTTAAACCAAGAAAAAAAATTAGTATGTTTAGGTGGGTTTGACCATTTTTTTGTCGGTTAGGGTGCAGTTGTTTAGGGTTTAGGGTTTAGGGAGTTTAAGCATTTTCGTGTCGGTTAGGACCTAGTTTGTACCGTAACATGATTAACCTTATAAATTTTTTTAAACTAATTAAGTTAGGGTCTCGTTTAGCCTAATTGATTTTAAAAAATTTAAACCAAGAAAAAAATAGTAAGTTTAGGGTTTATAGGGGTTTGGCCATTTCTGTGTCGGTTAGGGTCTAGTTGTTTAGGGTTTAGGGTTTATGGGGGTTTAAGCATTTCTGTGTTGGTTAGGGCCTAGTTTGTGTCGTAACATGATTAACCTTATAAATTTTTTTAAACCAATTAAATTTGATCTTTGGTCTTTAGTCTTTGGCTTTCGGTCTTCGGTCTTTGGTCTTTAGTCGTTGGCCTTCGGTCTTTGGTCTTTGGTATTTGATCTTAGGTTTTTGGTCTTTGGTCTTTGATCCTCACACAATACTCGCTTTTTCACTCTGGTCTTTGGTCTTCGATTTTAGCTCTTTGGTTTTCGGTTTCTTGGTCTTTGGTCTTTTGTCGTTGTTCTTCACACGCGCTCCCTTTTTACTCTGGTCTTTGATCTTTGCTCTTTGGTATTTGGCCTTTGACCTTTGGTCTTTTCTATAGGTCTTGGTCCTAAAAGACACAATAAGACCAGAATGTCTTTTAGTAAGACCAAGGCTACTGCATAAATTTTTTTAAGTTTCGAAATACATATTCATGAGGGATCTTGTTGGATAGATCTCGTCGAGTACTATCAAAATGATATAAGACAATCAAAATGATATAAGACACTTGGTCTAATTATTTACGGATTAAGAAATAAAGTGATTTGAAAATTTAAGAAATTTTTAAAACACAATTCCTAAAATTATGGGGAAGGGGCGCGTGAGTTTCACATTAAAAAAAATTGAGACCAGCAAAACAAGAGGATGTTGCACGCGCGCGTGCTCAAATTAAGTACATCCTCCAACGTGCACTTAATACTTATGTTATAATAACTCGTGGAAAATGAGGGAGCAAATAGGTGAGGAAGTTTGCTATAATTGATTGAATCGACTTGCATGAAATTTTAATGGGCAGGGTTATGTAGTCCCAAAAGCTTCTTATCGTAACTAATTAGCCTATTAGTTTCTTTTGCTTTAGTTTATATCTCAAAACTAATGTAAATTTTCTTATTAGCTTATAGCAATATTTTATACTAAATTTTATAAACCGAACTCTAAATCTTTCTTTATCATTATTTTCTTTAGAAAAAAAATTAGGTCATTATTATACATTAATAAGTTTAAACAAACTACCAGTTTCACTATTTATGCTTAAGTGGAGACGTCCCAGAATCGGGGCGTCACAAAATTGACTAAAACTGTTGAATAAACGAAAAGGTGGTGACTAATTTTGTCAGTAAAAAATTAATGGTGACCAAAAGTTATGACCCCACATAGTTCAGGGACCAAAAATGCGTTTTATCCATATTTTTTTTATTGATACTAATAAATTAAAAAAAATTTAAAAATAAAACATTTAAAAAAATTCAAAAGTTAAGTTTTTCAGTAGAATTTTGGATCCTAAGTAGCGGTCAATCAGGTTATAAAAGTCGACAAAGAAATACAAAATGGCGGCCGTGATAAATTTGGTGCAGTTCAATTCTCATATCATTCATGGAATGTTAAAGAAAATAATTTATTGTACCACAATGGAACTTTTTTATTATTTTTTTGATCGCGTCACATTGACAATCGGAGTACAAACGCCGTTGAAAAATTACAAAATAGAGTACATGATCTTCCCTTTGTCCCAAAAATGGTACAAATTTACTAAATTTTTTAAGATTTGCACTAAAAAAATACTATAAATTTAAAAATTTAATATGAACTTATATAGGTAACATCAAATTTGGTCCACTTCAATTCTCACATCATTAAATAGAACATATAAAAAAAATGAAAGAATCACAAAAAAGAATGAGAGTTCATGTTCGTCGAGTTGTTCTCCATCTTTGTTCCATCGACGAAGAGTCGGCGAACATAATTTCCAAAGAAAATGTTTTAAATTAACATTAAACAATAAAACATTCAACGGCTTAAATTTTTGATAGGTTGTAGGTTTTAGTCGGGTTATAAAAGTCGGCGAATAATTAAATAATGGAGTGTATGATATTAAATTTAATCCACTTCAATTCTCACTATCATTCATTGAATATTAAAACCAAAATTTACTATATCACAATGAAATTTTCACAAAAAACAAATGACTTTTAACGCTTCTCACTTTCATTCATGGAATATTAAAACAAAAATTTACTATATCACAATGAAATTTTCACTAAAAAAACAAATGACTTTTAATGCTCGTTGACTTTATGGCAGACGTTTACTTAGTCAACGACAAAGTCGACACAAAAATTTTCAAAAATTTAAACATTTTATGATTTTTGGATAGATACCAATAAATCAAAAAAAATTTAAAATCAATCAGAAACATTAAACCATTCAAAGGTTAAATTCTTTTAATAAATTTTTGGATCGTAACTGGTATAAAAGCCGAGGAAGAAGTGCAAAATAGAGTGTATGATATCAAATTCTGCCTCGTTCAATTCGCATATCATGCATGGAATATTGATACACAACGAAGTTTTCACCAAAAGAAAACATTTTGATATTCGTCAACTTAATCGTCGGCTTTGTCAAGTCCACCACTAATTCGCCGCAGTTTATTTCAAAAACTTTAAAAATCTTATGACTTTTTAACTGATACAATAATAAATAAATAAATAATTTCAAATCAATAGTAGACATTAAAATATTCAATAGTTAAATTATTTATTATATTTGCTTATGGAATCTCGTTGTTAATCGGGGTATAAAAGCCGCTAAAGAACTTCAGCCTACTTAAATTCTCATATCACTCATATGATATTGAAGTAAAAATTTACTTTAAAAAAAATAAAATAATCATGTTCGTCGACGTATTCGTCTTCTTTATTAAGCTGATGACAAAGTCCACAAAAATAATTTTCAAAAATTTAAACATTTTGTTGTTTTTATTGATAAATCAAAAATATTTAAAATCAACAGAAAACATCAAAACATTCAAAGGTTAAAGTTTTCAATAGGATTTTCGATCATAACTTGTTAATCGGGGTTGAAGCAAAAATTTACCATTCCACCATTAAGTTTCCACAAAAAACTATGCATTTTAACATTCGATGACTTAATCGTCGACTTTGTTAAATCCACCGGCTAAGTCGACGCAAGTTACTTCCAAAAATTTATAAATTTTATGAATTTTTTTTTATTGATACCCATAAATAAAATAACATTTAAAATCAACTGTAGATGCTGAATCGTTCATTGGTTAAATTTTTTATTATATTTTTTGATCACATCTCATTGTTTATCAGGGTATAAAAGCCCCCAAAGAATTATAAAATGGTGATATCAAATGCAGCCAATCGTATTCTCATATCATTCATAGAATATTGAAATGAAAATATATTATAACAAAATGAAATAATCACAAAAAACAATAAACTTCCATGTTTGTCGACTTATTCATCGTTTTTTTTAAGTCGGCGAAAACGTCGACGCAAATAAACATCTTAGCAATAGATTTTCGGATCACATATATTGTATTGATACTATCCATTATCTAACAACTTCTCATCTCACAATCACAATTGTGGCTTCCTACTAGATACTTTTTTTGGTGGCACCGGAAATTTATCTATAACTAGATAAACTTATTTTTACTGGAAAACTACACCGAGAAGTAAGTCATTCTAGATAAATCATGGGTGAGGTGTGAAATCGAAGATAAATAAAATAATTCCCTCGTCTTTTTAAAGCATTGTTCTCGGGAACCTATAAAAATCTAATCTAAGAATATATGATATTTAAGCTCTTTTTTACCATGTCTAAGTTGTTCAAATTGTAGAGCAATGTAAACAAAAGTATTGATAGTTTCTTAGAAGCCAGTTTGATGGAAGAAGATTTTGTGATCTGAAATATAAAAGCCATCATCTTTGATTCATCCAATCATTCTCTTTTTTTAAGTTTCAATCTTCTTTATAACTTTAAGATGATCAAAGAGGAAAACCAAATGAAAGCATAGCTAAGTATACAGTTTTCTGTTGCAACATTTCAGAGAACCTTTTATTTAAAGTTAGAAGACATATTGATTTGTTACTATTCAGACTCAGAAGAACTCAAGACGAACTACTGATCCAAATTGCAGATTGTCTTCACCCATTGTACCCTCATCAGCCTGTCATTCTCTTGCATCAGCTGAATTCATACATACATATATATATCCATTAGGGACGATGATGCGCAGGGCAAGTAAGCGACGACTTGCCATTCTTGCGACAAATGGTGGCGAAGAGGCCAGGAGGATACTTGCCATATAAGTTGATGTAGCTGAACATAGTGGTAGCGCAGTCGTTGGACAAATCGTTAAGGTATTTTGCAAAAGGGCAGGCAAACTTCAAGAAAGCCTTACAACAACGATTGGGAGGATAGCTTGGAGCTTTGCAATTGCTGGTGATGATAGTGTAGTTCTGAAACTCAAACTTTATAGGACAAACTGCAGAAAAGAACACGCCATGATGCATATAAGTCCACTAATAAAATATCATTCAGCCATTACCATGAACTGCTGCTGATTTGATTTTTCTTTACCTAAAAGGGATCTGATGTTCTCTTTTCCTACTAACTTAGGGGTGGTAATCTGTGACACGATCATTAATTCCGATAACAAGATACGAACACACGGCCTGTTTATGTAATCAACATATAACCCGATTAAGGTAATGAAGATCCATAAACAAAGCATCAGGTTTTGTGTCATGGAAACAATTTTGAAGATATTGACAAGAAAATTTCTGACCCTCTTAAACAAAGCTCTGACATTTGCCTACAGAGGACATAATCAATTTCCAGAAGAAGCGAATGAATTAAGCGCCAGCAAAGACCCAAAGATAAAAAGGCTGCAACAGAATTTCAGATTCCAGATAGCAAAAAAAAAAAGACATTGATGACAAACCATGCTTGGAAGCCAAGAGGTGCCGTCCACTTCCAGGGTCGATATCATCATCATAAATGCCATCTGTTGAGAAATTTCAGTGCAAGAGGGAGTAAGATGACATAAGCTAATGTTCAGTTACGTTTACAGATAGAAGACAATTTAGAACACATCGATCAGAGTAAGCAGAATATTGATTGCTTCAAATTCAATACCTGAGATGGAAGCAGAAGCAGAGATGATGGACAAAAGGTTGAGAAGTGTGAGCACAATCACAAGAAACTGAAGCTGATTCATCAAACCCATGATTCTCATTTCTCATTCACACACAAAGGGCAAGAAGAGTTCCCGAGGAAACCTTATATAACTCGTGAAGATGACCAAATTTTGCCGTTCCAGGTCAAACTCATTAAACCAATAAAACACCACACATTCTGGGTTGCTGAAATTTCAAACTAATACTAGACTAGAGAGTATAGGGGACACAAGTCCTTTATTATTAAGTTGATATCGAAAGAAAAAGATAAGTTTTTTTTTCTTTTTTCTCCCCCTTCGAAAATGGTTTCCACAATGACACAATCAGTCCACATGGTTACCGACTGGTTTGTCTAATACAACAACGACAAGGACCATGATTTATTTACTTCATTGTTACCGACTGGTTTGTTTTGTCCGGTTAATGGCATATCTGAAGATTGAAGAATCAGTATTCTCCTACCGTCACACTTTAAATAATCTACTTTGTTATAGTATTTTAATTCTACAACGATTAAATAAATAGTGGACATTTAAAGTGTGATTGAAGAGTGGTTTACATTTTACAACATCCCCCTTCGTCCTAGTGTAAGAAGTTCCTTTTTTTTTAAGAAGAAGCATAAGTAGCGTAAGAAGTTCATATCTACAGAAAAACTTAAAAGGGTTATTAAAAAGATTAATAAAGTCCGTCGGATTTCGATATCTTCCTTTCATCAGGCTCAGTTTACTAACTGGCTATACAAAGGCCACTTGAATGGTGGATGACATTGCACTTTTCCCATTTCCACCTAACAAATAACAAAACCTGGTGACGCCCAACACAACGGTAAACCAAACCAGGAAACTAAGTGCCTGTCAATCTCAATCCCATTCCAGCTACAATGCCAGAATCAAACCAGCATTGAAGTACTTTCTTGTTACCTAAAGTCTTACCTCATTTTCATCTATGAAATTTACATCACCAACCCAACTTTCTATACTACTAGATTTTCAGCAAAGAGTCGGAAAAACTCAATTACTGCTATTTTGGTGTAGGACATGGTTTCGTCTATATATATATAGCCTTTCTTTTTCTTCCCCCAACTCTCTCAAAACTCCGGATGTAACCATCTTGAACTGATAAGTTCGCAAGAAAAAGAAGGGAAAGATTGAAGAATGGAATCGATCCGCCAGCTAGCTAGCACCTCTTCCACGTGAGTAAATCTGACATTCACATTTCTACATGTGGCGTTGACCTCTTGCAGCGTCTGCTTACTATACCGCTGCCACTAATGATTCAACAGAAGAACCTTCGATGCTGTGGTAACGAGAAACATCAGGAAAGAAATCACACATACAATAGCAAAATAAGATTGCCATATCATATTATGTCCACAGAAATGAAATAATTGGTGTACAGTAACATCCAGGCACTCGGGAAATGGAGAAAACTGCAGCATAAACATTTAGATGTTTGTATGTGCAAGATATCAACCAAGATGTTGTATGTGCAAGATATCAACCAAATATTTTTTTTAATATCTCCCCACTTTCTTAAAGCCCTTTTCACCAATCAATGTTTCTGGTCAACCAATCAGAAATCAGGTGAAACAAGATCCGCTTCTTTAACCCAATTTGTAATTCAGATAAAGACAGTATTCCTTAATTGAGATTGAACTAAGATTTAAAACCTTTCCAGATGAACCGCTAGCAAGAATTGACTCGTTAAAACTTACTCGAAATTTGGACTCTCTTATACTCTCAAGCAATTCACTAATTTCTAGCTGCTTCATTACGGTGGCATGCAGTACCTGCACCAAAAGCATGACGGTGTCCGGTCATTCTGTGCGTAAATGGAAACTGATTTAAAGGGAAGCAACAATAAAGCTAACCCTTTTGGTTTTCTCAAGGTCTGTCTCGACAGATTTGATCCTGTCCATAGACTGCAGCAGCATTTGGTCCTTCTCCTTAGGTATAACATTGGGCTTGTTATTTAGTTCTTCCAGTAACTTTTCGAGTCTCTGAAGACGCTGTACACATGGAAGAACTTGATCTTCTTCGCCTACAGCTCGAGCATGGGCAGAGGACTCATTATTTGGTAGTAGCTGTTCCATGGCAGCATTAGATGGATGAATATTAGTCTGCCTCCTCCAGTAATCAAGAGGAACATTTCGGATAACCATGATAAGTTTGACAATGAACGGTATCACTGTCCTCAACACATATCGGAAGCTCCTCTTCACGATTGCCTCCTGGATACTTTCGAACCAATGTCGAGCTAGAGACGCTAAACAATATTCACATTAAAAAATGAGTAAGAAGGGGTCAAAGTAGGTTATGTAAGGATGCAAAACAGTCAAGTCTTATCTATTCATCTCATAATCTTGCCACTTCAGGCATCAATATCATTCTCATAAAGAGAGAACATCAAGTGAAGTTCCTGATAAGCTACATACATGTAAGAAGACAGATATACCACAATAATATTGTACATTACCTTCTAAATTCGAATTTCCAGCTCTCCTGATTCGAGGTTCATTATCTAATTCGTGCTCAACATGCCCAGTTGCATCTTCAGCGAAGTGATCATTACAACTATAGAAGGTGGGCGATTCAGATGTCTTTGCCTGTTAAGATCTTCAACACATTAGCATAACGATTCGCAAACACAGCTAAATGCACACACAACCAATTAATGAAGTAAATAAATGAGATCATAACCTCTTCATGGACTGGGGCCAACCGAGCAAATCTGAAGCTATTTTTCCTAGTTGGAGAACAAGAATCATCTGCGTCCGATCCAGATTCAACTGCATATGTATCACTCGTCCTGCCCTGATAACATAACACAAAGAAGTGATGCTACAGGAAAAACCGCAAGAAATATGAAAACGAAGAAAGAAAACTAATATTCATTTACCTTTAATGGTGGTATATGAATATAGGAGTCGAATTTCTGCGGCTCATTTACTCTAGTAATCTGCCTCACAAGTGAGGCCTCAACATTGTATACAATCTGTGGCATCACAATAACCTTCAGCATTAGAAAATAAACAATAAACAGGAAGCAGAACAAGACAAACAAGTTAACAAATAAACACGAATTAATGAACAGAACAGGCTGCTTTAAGCATTACAGGACAAATAAATAAATATCAGAACAAGACTTGTAGACAAGGAGGCAGCTCTGCTAAGATTCATGTTACCTTCATTATATCAGGATCATTCCAAGGACCCATATTAGAACGAAGGCATCCTCCCTCAACCGGGCATGAGCACGATCCACCCAAAAAGTCAGGCAATTGACTGAAAGAACAGTAACAAAACTGAAGGGGTTAGATGTGAAGATAGAATGTCATTAAACAATGGAATGGAAGGGGATTGTAGACCTTACCTTGGGTCAATCACTTCTAGTAGTTTGCCCAAAGATTTAGGCTCCAAAACCTACAAAATTAGAGAAACTCAACTCAAAGCCTAATCAACTTCAGTACAGGAAACATAGGAAAAAGGGCACTAAGACTTTACCTGAATTTTTGCAATAGTTTTGGCATCAAGAAACTTCTGAGCGGCAGGCCACAACACCTTCTTAAAACCGGGGCCAGCATTCGTAATGAACATCCGATGGAGTGTCTGCAAATAGATGATTGTATAAAAAATAATGAACTCTTTCACCATGAATGAAAGAAGACCTATTTCCAGGAAAAATAAAATAAAATCAAAATTCAAAGAGAGTTCACAGTTCATACCTCCGGATAATAATTATTATCAATTTTTGTCAAGGATGCCAAAAGATTAGCAGCTGTCCTCGAGAAATTCTTAGCTCCCTAAATTCAAAGTTTCCATAATTAATTACACAGCAGTCCAGACATGGCAACAAATGATCAATAAAGCCTTCAAGCAATTGAAGGATGAACGTACCAGGCCTTGGACATCTATGATTGTGGTGGTTGTACAGATACGTCTTTTTGCTGCAATGGAACAAGCAGGGAACTTCTCGTAAATGGCTTTCTCAAACTCCTGGACATGATATTTCAAGTAGCGATCAATTGTGGTAATGCGCATTAGTTTGCCAGGGTGAGCTTGTCCAAGTCTTTCAATATAAACAGGTCTCCCTTCTCTGTCAACTCCATGATATCCTTGAGGGTAATATTGCAAAACCTCTTCTAGCTCCTCAAACTCGAAGTCCTGAAGTTTGAATAAGGACAAATGTGAAAAGGTAGAGAGCAAATGGGGCATCACTCCCGATAGTAAAGACTGAGACAACATAAATACAATGCAACTGCACAAAAAACTACACTGGTCACAAGAATAATCACCAAACGCATGACAAATGCCAATCAGCACCCTGCTCCAAGATGAGGAAATCAAGGGTTTGTGTGGATAGCCTCCCAATTCATCTCATTTCCAATTTTTAATCCAATTTTTTTTTAATCCAATATTTCATTTTAGTAAAACATTTGGAAAATCCGAATAGTCCTTCGGTAACGGCATCCACACATGCTGGAAAAAATTCTTTGTAGTCATACTTGCTTAAAGGAGGAGCATCGTAGAATTCATTACCTCCAAGATGGTGTCTGTTCCATACTCTTTCCTCCATCGCAGCATTTCCTCCCACATTTGAATAGTCTTTTCGATGTTAAAGTCTCGGGCTTTCAAAAATCTAAACAGAAAAGCAAACATTTTAAAATGTTTAGCATCTATCATTCACCTTGTGCACCAAGACCGAGAAAATCTAAGCACCGTAATACACATAAATCTGCATGGTTCTCCAAATACAATCGAAAAAGTTGCCCACTAATGGCGAATGAACCCAAGTTCATATGCGTGAATGATATCTTTCTATCAATCAGGAAAAGGAAAGAAAGTAGTTCTAAAAAAAAAGGGAAAAAAAAAAAAACTATCATCTCAATTTGAGGAGATTGTAAAATTAACTAATAGCAAAATCAAGTTGGGTCACCTCAGCAATGTATAGTAGTCATCATGTCTCGCCGGCAACAAATCTCTTTCTAGTAACTTTTGACGAAGTTCACTGACAGCAGTCTCCTCTTTTGCATCCCTGATATCCTCTATGGAAACAGAGGGGACCCTGTAATCGACCTTCCTTTTTCCTCTTTTCTTGAGAGAATGAGTAAATTTATTGGAGGCATTTATTGCCTTCTTCTTCAAAGTACCTATCTTTGAACATCGCCTTTCATCTTCTGAGTTCTCAAACTCTGATCTCCTTTCTCGCGTGTCGTCAAAAAGCTCTATTCCATCTGGACAAAACACATCACAAAATCAAAACAAACATTTGTACATGCAATGCTGATTTAATAAAGCAAATTAAACAAGTTTACCTGACATATTTGTACAGTAGGTCAAAAACGCCAGAAAGGTATAGGGAGGAGATTTGAAGCCTCAAGGATGATTATTAAGACAATAAAAGCATTTCATTTCCTTCAGTATCAATATCAAAAAGTCATGCAGCTCTCTCCATTGTCTACCTGCTAGCGAGAGACAAAGAGATTGGCAGAGTTTAGTATTAATAGCACAAACAACAAAATCAGCAAATGTTCACAATCAGACAAAAAAAAATATGAAAAGAAGAGAAGAACACCCTGTAAAAAAGACTAGTAAATATAATGCCTTCAGCCCTGAAGAACCATTTTGTTAACAGTCCTTTTGTCTATTTTCAGAAATAAAGACATGACTTTGCCTAAGACTGAAATTGATGTTCCTACCAAAACACCAGAATTAGTACACCTGAATTGCCATTTTCCTAAGAAGCATTAATAATATTACATCAAATCAAAGGGAAAACTCAGGGTTGGTAAGAACATTAGCAAAAACCTTCTGTTTTAAACTTTCCACTCAAAACTCACTCCCCACCGACACAAAACAATCACTGCTTCAGCAAAGCTTATTATCTTGGTATTCCATACAAAATCATATAACCGCTTGGAAGAAAACAGATCTGAAATCAATGCATCAGCAATGAAGAACAATTGTACCCCGAACCGCAAAGTCTTCATCTCATACTAAAATTGCTAACCCATCAGAACCCTACTCTCATACCTCATTCTCAACCATTAATCAAATTTGGAAAACTGATGAACTGTCACAAAACATTTCTAAAACCCAGCTCAAAATCAAAAGCCAGAGGTTAAAGAAAAGGAGAAATAGCACACACACACACACAAACACAGGGAGACATTGATGGAATCCCAGAATTCATTCATCTTCATCCATAACACGCGAGGAATAAAAAAAGGGGGCCCAACTTTTCAACATTGCGATCAAAGCCAACAACAACCGGATCTTGCATCACATTCATTATCAAAAAAACCAACCAATTTTCAGTTTTTCTTTTCCATGATTCCATCATGATCAGGGGAAGGAAACGAAACCCCATTTTACTCGTAGCCAATCACGAAAATTGACCACAACAATCACCAAAATAAAAAGCAGCTCACCTACAAGAAAACCCAATAAGAGGAGAGCTGGATCGCAATTCCCCCCTTAAAAATCAATGAAATCGAATCCCATTCATATATCGTTTGGGTTTTTCCTCTGAACCCACCAAAGTCCCGGCTGAAACAAATAAAGTTCTTTCCTTTTCCCCCTTTTTTAACCGAGACTTTCTGGAAAGAAAAAAAAAATCTGTCTTTAGCTTTGCAAAATACAACGGAGGCTCCTCCTTCCTGAACTACTAGTTTCTATATCTGTAAGGTATCTATATTGCGGATATGAATCAAAAGAAGGAAAATATATGTATAATGAGAGTAATCAAATCTAACGATCCGAAATGCAGTGAAGGAATTGGATTCGGTTTCGGAGATCTCTCCCCAGACTTTTTCTCTTTTTTGGCCTGACAATACACTTAACCAAATTTATGAAGTTTCCAGCACCTCTTCTTCTTCCCCCTTTTCTTTTCTTTTCTTTTTTTCTCTTTTTTTTTGTTTTTTTTTTTCGCTCCTTTGCTTATTTGTCACCACTTCTTCTGTTACGTGGCACTCCCGCTTTTTCTATTTTAATATTCTCCATTAAAAAATAAAAATAAAAAAGTAATTAATGTGTCACCAAAATTATTATTATTATGTCAATTCACCGCTGTATTAATTTTTTTTACTTAACTTTGATATACTATTTTTTTTTTTACAGAAAATTCATTGTACCTTTTATAAACGAATGAACAACCAAGCTGAAAACATACTTTTTTGTCACGTTATTTTATCATTACCATAGTCACATTATCTCACCTTATATCATCGACAAACTCATCATTCTTTTTACGAGATTAAAATTCTGAATGGCAACGTTACATAGATCAAAATTCTGATTTAGTAAGTTTATTTATTAATTGAAATATTCAATTGATATAACTATTTGTAGTTTCGGGTAAGAGATTAATAAACACATGTGAATAAATAAGATGACCGTCCCCATTAATGTGTGAAAATGTATACTAAGATAAGGATAATGATCTTCACGGTTAAACAAATTTCTAAAATTTATTTTTATCTCATCCGTAAGAAGATTATTACTCGGAAAAAAAATGTGGATTATATTCCGTGAAAATTAAAGTAAATAAATACAGAGAGAGGAAAACGAGGGGAAACAGTTATATTCTGTTGAACAAACTGATGATGTGTGTAAGACTGTCACGATTTTGACTGGACCAGTACTTTTTTTTTACCGCTTTCACACTGTATCTACGATATCGATTACTACACCTATACCTATGCAGATGGTAGGGTGGTTAAATTGTGGCCTACGGTAATATGTATGTCACGCACGCACATACCATTTCTTTTTATTCCTTACCACTCCCGCACGCAGTAAAAAAAAAAAACAAACAAACAAATTGAAAGGAATCCAATTTATGGGAAGGCGAACCATTCTTGTGAGTGTGACTATAATTTACTGCTTTATTCCACAATTTTTATTACTCTCTCTGTTTCAAAATTATTGTCCAATTTGAGATTTCATTATATTTAGTACAATTTGAATCGGAAATGAAAATTAAAACTGGACAATAATTATGAGACGGATGGAATACAAAAAAGTAGCAGAAATTTTTACTGGAGGAGTAATGAAATGGCAGTGAAACAGTAACGGTTTTGCAGAGCAGAAGAAGCAGAACAGGTTTTCCAGTTTTTTTGTGCTTCCCTTACGTTAATGTTTTGTTTCTGTTATTGATTCCCCGAGTTGGGAGCTATGGAGATTTTTAATATGTAACTCCAGTTAATAGTAGTAAATAAATGTTCTTGTTGACAATTTCCCTCCTTTTTTTTCAAGATTACTTGAGAAAATAGTCGCTATTTTTGATCAGACATCCAAGGTCATGTCACAATAACAATCTAACTATTTCAAATAGAAAATTTAAAGAATAACTAGCTTACAAGGAAATTATCAGCTTCTGTTATTATATTACCACAAACAAAGAAAGAAATATACTATAATTTAATAGTATTTATCAGATGAATACGGTCGTTTTCACCAAATCTAATCTTATAATTAACATCTTTGTTGTTGTTTAATGTTTGTAAGGTCAACATTATTCTGACATTCCTCAACTTTTTATCATAACTCTCTTATGTGGGGTACTAAAGTGCCTTTTACTATCTTCCATTTTGCATTGAGTCAACGATGGTCTGAATTATTATTTTTTCTTTCTTTTTTTTTGGGGTATAATATAAGTATAAACGTTCTATTACGGAAATCGGATATTTGATGTATTTTCACTTTTTTTTATATAAAAAGAAAAAATTAAGCTCAAAAGACACCTAGTAATATAAGAGTACTAAGATATGGTTGTGGCAGCACCTTACCAGAACCAGACATGTAAAATCACAAGATTAACAAGAATATATACTAAATCCCTTTTTTTTGGGCTAAAACAAGCTATAGTTTGCTATAAGTAATCCATAATTTTTGTTAAACACCGCTACCATTTCCTTGCTTGAATTGAGTCCAGACAGTTTCCAAAAAAGTACTGTGATTGAATTTTTGAACATGTGAATAAAATTACGATAGACTCCCTTCGGTCCTTAATATAAGGCATTTTTTTTTTGTTTTAGGTTTCACTTAGTACATATTTTTAATCGATTGAAAAATCTTAAACATATATCTTCACGTTCGTCGTGTTCTCTTGATTGTTAGAAAATATTTTTAAGATTTTTTTGTCAATTAAAAATACGTACTAGGTAAAACTTATGACAAATTAAAATATCTTATATTAAGGACCGAAAGAAGTAGTACATAATATGAATTTTTGGCGTGATACGGCTTAACTAATAAATTAGGTACCAATTGAGGGCGGTTTTGGATTTATGCAAACTAATCAATTAAGTAAAGATGGGTTTATCAGTTATGTGAAGTCGTGATCGGACCCCAATATTCTCAACAAAGCGTGGCCGCGCTCATAATTATCAAACAAATTAACAGCGTTTATTTTATTTTATTTTTCTCTTTTTTCTTCGGTTCACTCTATTGCGACTCGTAAGAAAAGTTTTTACTTTTATGTGGTAAAATAAGAGGAAAGCAAGTAATGAAATTTTCAACGAGCGACGTTAAATCACTATTGTTTACTTTAATCAAAGTTATAAACAAACATTTCTTGGCAGAGACGGTTTTAGGGGAAGGCTACTAAAGATAGGATTTTAGGCCTTATATTATTTAAGACCTCATTTTTTAGGATATTATTAACTGTAATTATTTTTTAAAATTATTTTACAATAATAATCATTGAAAAATAATAAAAAAAGCTATATTATCGAAAAAAATTTTGACATGCAAAGAATGTAGTATTTTAGTAATTTGATAAAATTATTTGTATCAAAATTATTAAAGTATTTGAATGAATTTTTTATTTTATTGAAATCTGACTATTGGACGGCCCCAAATTTAAATTTCACTTGAGCCCTCAACAGGCATTGAGCCAGCTATGTTCTTGGTCTAAGTGGGAAACTAATTTGAGTTGATCTATGTAATTAAACCATAAATAAATGTTAGCAGATTCATCACTCGTGCTCTCCGAAAATGGAAATTGACAAACAAGTAATCTTATAAGGTTTGAAATGTAAGTTAGAGTTTAGAAATTAGAAGTCACCAATTGTAATGTTTATAGTGTTAGTGGATTTTATGTTATTTTATTTTTTCCAATTTATGTATAGGAAAAAAAAATGTAGGAAACCTAACTCATCCGTTAGCAGACAATTGGACATTCACTTGGATAGTGGTACAATTCATCCACCAATTTCATGTAGAATTAATCGCAATTATGTGTTTGAAGACAGTTGCATGTGAGGATCTACGTTGATTTGTTGAACCCGCAATCAACATGGAGACTTGAGATTGATTCA